TAAACCCTAAACCCTAAACCCTAAACCCTAAACCCTAAACCCTAAACCCTAAACCCTAAAACCCTAAACCCTAAACCCTAAACCCTAAACCCTAAACCCTAAACCCTAAACCCTAAACCCTAAACCCTAAACCCTAAACCCTAAACCCTAAACCCTAAACCCTAAACCCCTAAACCCTAAACCCTAAACCCTAAACCCTAAACCCTAAACCCTAAACCCTAAACCCTAAACCCTAAACCCTAAACCCTAACCCTAAACCCTAAACCCTAAACCCTAAACCCTAAACCCTAAACCCTAAACCCTAAACCCTAAACCCTAAACCCTAAACCCTAAACCCTAAACCCTAAACCCTAAACCCTAAACCCTAAACCCTAAACCCTAAACCCTAAACCCTAAACCCTAAACCCTAAACCCTAAACCCTAAACCCTAAACCCTAAACCCTAAACCCTAAACCCTAAACCCTAAACCCTAAACCCTAAACCCTAAACCCTAAACCCTAAACCCTAAACCCTAAACCCTAAACCCTAAACCCTAAACCCTAAACCCTAAACCATAAACTGAAGGTCGTGTACATTAACGGACTGAGGTCGCTGATACGAAAACGTGATAAGGATGGTCGTTGTACCTGATGTAAAAAACGACGACAAGCGAAGTTGACTCGCTACGTTACAGAAACTCCGACGGTCGAGGTTATGGATCTCCGCGAGCCGACCAGACGATCCAGGCCTGGCTGAACGGTGTCGACGTGAGAAGATGGTGATGATTCGAACTGGTAGAGCGATCGGAAGCCAAGCTCATTAGCAAAATGCCTAGAAGGCTGCAGAAATAAACTGAAATTCCAAGAAGAAGAGCCGGAATGTGACGTGAGCCTGCGGATGCGTGGAATGTCTGACTACGGACCGTTGGGATGAGCTACTCAGTGAAAAACGGTGAACCGTTGGAAATCCGCCTTGCTCGCTTCTATGGTGGTCCCAAAACGTGCCACCGTGGAGAATGGTGGATGGATAAAAAAAATCGCTGACAATATGAACCTAGCTCTGATTGGACCGCCAAATGTACCCAGCGTCTAATTGGACCGCCTAATGTGCAACAAAAATTGATGTCCTCAATTTGGGACACGTACGCTGTTTCAACGGCCCGGAAAAAAACGCGGCTTGAAGCACAAGATTCGAGAATATAGTGACGTGTACTATAATGCTTCCGCTCATCCAACCGCCACGATCCGTTTCCCGAAGCGTGCTGCTAAATTGAGCCGCTATAATGGATGGGAGGCGGCTGGCATGGGAGGGAAGTGAAGATCCGTGTGGGTTGGGTCTGACACAAGCAGCGGGTAGAGAGGGGAGCGATGGAGGAGGTGTAAAATCATCATCTGCCAGAAGGAGAAGCTGGGGTCATGCTTTAGCGAATTGCCGAGGAAACAGGTAACTTCTGCTGTCAGCCGTTCCTCAGTAGCATTCCGAAACTGGGTTTCGCCAGACCCTGTTGTACAAACAGTCAGTACGGTTCAGACAGTCTTTACGAGGTAGAAAGCGGTATGCTACCACTATCAGTGATAAATTTTTATTCGGCCCAGGGTATGGTATGGTGATGGTGTGCGTAAAATGGGCCAACGAATTTCCCCGTCCATGGCGGCAGACCAGCATGCTTCAGGTCTGGAGGGAAATTCGAGCAGCAGACATATTGTGGCGGCCCAATTGGTGTACGCTGTACGAGCGGATCCAATACCTACACAGACCTTCAGTGCTTGACTGGGCTTGAAACACTCCACACGATTGTTGTCAAGTTGGACTGTTCACCTTTGATTCACAGCCTCGTTAACTTTTGCTGTTTGGTTGGGTTTCAATATTTATGGTTTGTTGCAATCGAAACAGTTTATGTTGTAGAGTTTTGGCATCCACCCAGGTATGGATGATGGATGAAACACGTTTGGCACGGATGGACCTAGGGCAGACTGTTGTTAGGAGTTCTGACATTTGGCTACTATTCCCTTCCCCGGACAATATTTTTTTGCGTGAGGTGCGGGACGGCGTTGGTTGGGATGGTCCAGAAATTTGTGCGTGATTGAACAAGCAAGTATTCAGCTGCGCTCGCAACCAGTTTTGCTGCTCGCGAACCCGAGTTGGGCAGCTGAAATTGCAAGGGGATGGTGTTAGAAAATCTGGTTGCGCGAGCCAATAGAAATGAGGGGGCGTTTTCTGCCATCGTGACACATCCAGCACAACCTTATCAACAACACATCACATTTGTCTACCTCACATTCGTTTACCTCGCGATCAGATCTTCCTTACCTCACGATCCTCTATCTTCCTTACCTCATTCCTAACTCTCATAACTGCGTCCAGTCGTATCTAGTCAGACCGGATTAGTTCCGCGTTGCATATTATTACCGTTCAATATTGGCTGTCGATTATGGCAGATGTAAGCGTTAGTCAGTGATAAGGTTAGCATTTCATTCCGTTAGTATGCGAGTCTAATGTCAGTGGTGACCGTAGCTAATGACACTCACGCTAGCAGGGATGCTTTGCACCTCTAGTACCGTAACTATCGCTAGTTCGCGGCGTAACGTGGCGCGGTTCTGCATTGGATCTTTATAACGTGGCGTAAGTTGCGCGGTTCTGATATCGGTACGGTTGGCAATAGTTGTAAGTTCTGACGTTTGTTGAACTAGTGTATTGCGGATAAGATAGGGACCTTCGCGGACGAGATCCTAGCGTCGATCTGCGGATGCATTAATAGTGCCTTTTTTTCGGATCCTTATCATGCGAACGCACGAGCAGCGTCGATTTGAGATCGCGGTGGTGGTGAACCCTCAGCGGATCGCGTTTGCACAGGCTGGAAGAAGAAGAGAGGAAGAAGGGGTGGTTGGGAGGGGGGTGAGAGGGTGATGGACTGGCGAGGAGCGACGTAGCGGAACGGCCCCTTTTCCCGCAGCGAGGCGACGCTGGGGAAGCAGGCGGTTACTCTGAGGCACCTCTTGGAGCCCCTTTCCGCATTTTCCCCCCTTCCCCCTTTGCGGTGCGTGACAATAGACTGGTTAGAGGCGATGTGGGGGACCGGCCCCGTGCTTTCTCCCCATCCCCCTTCCCTGTGCTTTCTCCCCTTCCCTGTGCTTTCTCCCCTTCCCTGTGCTTTCTCCCCTTCCCCGTGTTTCTCTTTTCCCCTCCCCGCGCCTTCTCCCCATCCCTCCCCCCGCTCCTTCCTCTTCTAGCTCGTCCCCCATTCCCCCGTTTTCTGCTCAACCCCCCCCCCCCCCCTCGTTCTCCCCTCATCTCCCCGCTCTCCCCTCATCTCCCCGCTCTCCCCCCATTTTCCCCCTCTTCCCTCCGCTCACTGCGATCACCGCTTATTTCCCCGCGCTCACACCTTTCCCAGCACCCACCCTCCATCTCCTCTCCCTCCCCACACATCTCTCATCCGCTTCCCCCATCCATGCCTCCTCGCTCATTCGCCCTTCATCCCCCCTCCATCCACCTTGCGTTTTCCCCCGCCATCCTCCCCTCAATTCCTCCCATCCATTCACCCCTCATTCCCCTCCCCCATCCATGCCCCTATCCTCCTCCCAACCCCCATCAGCTCACCCCCCATCTCCCCACATGCCCCTCCTTCGTTCACCCCTCGTTTCCCCCTTTTCCCCCGCATGTCCCCCTCCCTCCCTCCCTCTCCCTCGCTGCTCTGCTCTGCTCCCCGTCAACAGAATCATCCGTGCGTTCCGGGCAGAGGAGCAGAAGATGGTCAAGAAGTGGTTTCTGATTCACTTCCTAAACCTACCCTTACCTTGTCTCTTTGCATTGTTCCTCTACGCATGGCCACAACAGAATCATCCGTGCGTTCCTGGCAGAGGAGCAGAAGATGGTTCAGAAGGTGCTCGAGCTGCACAAGGCCACGGAGAAGATCGCCACCGCCGAAACCACCTGAGCTGCCTGCTTTCTGATCTGCCTGAACGGGTTTGAATTGAAGTGCCTGATCTGCATGAGCTGCCTAAGGGCGTGTTCCTACGGCCCCTTATCAGGGCTACCGCTTATCAAGCTCGCTACTTTTCCCCCTGAAAATTCCCTAAACCCAAAAACCCTCGCTACTTTTACCAGGCAAGGCTGACAAGAGGTTTGCCTGATAAGAGCGTAGGAACACGCCCTAAATCACGAGGGGGCTGCCTAAGCTCCTGCAACAGACGTGTAGAGACACAGTGGCATGCTGCAGGTAATGCCAGGCAGGAGTTTCGGTTTTGTTGGTGTGCAAATGTCCATTGTCCATTGGATGTATGGTTACCGTAGTAAGCAAGTATGGTTTACTCCAGGCGCCTGCTTCAGCTATTTACTACCTAATATTGGCTTTTCAGCTATTGGCTTTTCAGCTTTTGCTGCTAAATCGGTATCTTGGTGTTGCACTTCCACGAGACGACGCACTATCCACAATCAGCAGCAGCATAATCCGTCAGCGGCAGCAGCAGCAGCAGTAGCAGCAGCAGCAGCAGCAGCAGCAGCAGCAGCAGTAGCGGCAGCAGCAGCAGCAGTAGCAGCAGCAGCACATTTGGAATTCCTCTTTTCAGCCACATGCGCAGAAGGGTATATTTTGGAACTTTCTCAACCTCTGCTGTCACAGCTTGCGCACACGATGAGGCTCCAGCCACGGCAGTCCCAATAAGTCAACAAAGCACTCCAGCAGCGGCAGCTGCAGCAGCAGCATGTGCGAGGGAATCCTTTCAGAAGCTCTGCAACATTCTAGGATGCTGCTGTGCTCAGAGGTTGCGCTCGTGAGGCTCCAGCCACGGCAGTCCCAGGAATTCAGCAGGGCACTGCAGCAGTGGCAGCATCAGCAACAGCAGCAACAGCAGTAGCAGCATGTACAGTACAGTACAGTACAGAACAAGGAATTCATTTTCAACCTGCGCTGTCACAGGTTGCGCTCGTGAGGCTACAGCCACGGCAATCCCAAAAAGTCAGATTGGCATCGGCATTTCACTGGCACTACAGTAATGTCTCGTCAACTTGGGGGCCTGCTGTCAGAGGTTGCGCTCGTGAGGCTCGAGCCACGGCAGCCCCTGGAAGTCCCACACTGCCTTCTCACTCCCACATGGCACTGCCTTCTCACTCCCACACGGCACTGACTTTCCTGCCGCTGTGCCTAGTACCTGTTAGGTGGTGATGGGATCAGAACAGCATGTGTGGAATCATGGTGTTATTGAACTGACTGAAAAGAGAGGTAAAAATAGCATGAGTGAAAAATCATTAAGGGTACTGGGGTTAGAGAGGGAGGGAACTGAGGGAGGGAACTGAGGGCTTGACCAAGGCACACACGGCAGGCGGCGGCAGTGCGGGCAGGGACTGGAGGTAGGGACTGGAGGTAGGTAGGGACTGAACGAAAGGGTACCGAGCATATATTCTCTAGACAGAACTATTTATGCAACGGTGATACTACCTAAAAAGGCATAGAATCTCCCGACGTGTGCCGAAAACAATATGAGCACCTTTGCTGCGAGCAATGAGCAGAGAGGCAGCAGCGTCAGCAGCAGCGACACCTGTTGGGAGGAGGAGGCTCTGCAGAGCTCAGGTCGGGCGGTATGCGGACGGCGAGGGGGTTGCCCTCGAGCCAGATCTCGGTGATGTTCTCTAGCCGCGCTAATGGCAGTGGGCCCATAGCTGTTGCGCTCCAGGCGCACCTGGCGCAGGCGGCGCAGCATGCGGAAGGTGGCAGGGAGGGAGCCCGAGAGGCGGTTGTTGTCCAGGAATAGGTTCTCCAGCAGCTCGCACATGCCTAGCGACGCTGGCACGCGCCCACTCAGCTCGTTGCCACTGAACCGCAGGCTGCGCAGCCGCGTGTAACTGGGCGAGGCGCAGAAGGGGGGGATGGGGCCAGTGAGGTTGTTTCTGGAAAGGTCCAACTGGCCCAGGGCCGACAGCGAGGCGAGGCTTATGGGTGGCAAGGCTGAGAGGGAGTTGTTGAGGAGAATGAGCGTCTGCAGCGAGGTCATGAGGCTGACAGTCGACGGCATGCTGCCACTGAAGCCACTCGCCCCTGCATCCAGCCACACCAGCCCCGTGGACGCTAAGAAGTCAGGCAGGGGGCCAGAAAGGCGTTTACGGTGATTTCTATGCTGAAGGCGGCACGGCACCAGGCGGCGAAGACGGGCGAGGGGAGGGCCCCTGAGCGCCGTGAGCGCTGAGAGCGCCCTGGCACCGTGCCCCCCAGCTCGTTCGTGCCCAGCGCCAACACCAGCGCCGATGCCCGCATCGCCCGCGCCCCCTGCAATAGCTGGGCGCCACGGCCTCCGCCTGCGGGGAAAGCACGCTGTGCTTGGCGGAGTGGCGCAGCGGTCGGTGCTGAGTGGGGACACGGCGGCTAGCGAGTGGGCGGAGGAGAGTAGGCGCGCGCGGGGCAAGGGGCGCGTGGAAGAACGTGCCCCCGACCACCACGCACGCGTACGCCCCGCTCAGCTTCCGCCTGCCCGCCTGCTCGCGCAGCACGTAATTAAGCGCAGGGCAATCCCCCACATGCTCCCCCGGCCTGGCGATAGCGCAGTCCCCCGCTGGTGGCGTGGTGGGCATGGCCGGGGACCGACTCGTGGGTGGTAGGGGAGGGTTGCTGCGTGGGAACGGCGCGGGCAAAGGCAAGGCGAGGAGGATGCGATTACGTGGGCGGTGGGAGGAGGAGAGCAGCAGTAAAGCGCACGGAAGGAAGAAAGGCGGTTGCACGAGTAATCGGTAGCGACGAGTGAAGGTATAGAGCAGCTGAGCAGCGAGGTACTTGTGGATGCCAGCGTAGTGGCGCGGCTGTCCTGTTGACAGGGAGCAGATGGCACTACCAACCAAGGGAAGCGATTGTAGCATGATTACATGATTACATGATTACATGCCAGGCTTAATAATTGGGTTCAACTCACTCATGAAGGGTACACTGGTGTGCCAAAACAGCGTACAGAGTGTTCTGTCCCTGGCTGCTCCATCCACCCCTGCTAGAGCAACGCATTCCAACAAATTGCCACTCCCGTTCCGCCCTAGCCACTCACTCACCAATCTGCTTCGTCATTTCTCTCTCCGCCTCTACCACCGTGCCTTGCCCACCCGGCGCGCGCCAGCACGACAACGAGAGCAGCGACGGCGGCGTTATCAGCGACGATGGGGTTCGAGAAGCAGCTGCTCGCCGCGGGATCGGGGCCCACGCCCAGGAAGGGGCAGACCGTCACCGTGCACTGCACCGGCTACGGTGAGCCGCCCCTCGCCGCTGCGCCCCGTTCCTCGCGCCGCGCTGCCCTCGTATGTCGCGTCGCATCGAGTCCACCTTCCGCACCCGTCTCTCCCGATGCAGATCCTGATTGTTTCCGCACCATTTGTTTTTCGCGAATCTCCGTTTTTTTCTTATTGTTCTCTTTCCCTTCCCTGCGATCGTCTTCCTGGCTCCCGATTCTCGTCGTCGTCCACGTGCGATCCGCACCCTCCGCCGTCACGCGCGCCCACGCCTTCCCGTGCGTCCACCCGTTCGCGTATTCGCCGCGTTCCTCGTGCGACGCGCGGGGGGGTGCCGGTACGGCAGGGAAGAACCGCGATCTGAGTCAGAAGTTCTGGAGGTACGCGGGGGCGAGACGTGGGGGGGCGGGGTGGGGTGGGGACTGATCTCCCAGCATTCTTTGATTTGCTGCTTGCGAGGAGTATAAGTTGCTCTTATCCTGCGCCCTTGTTTTGTCAGTGCCTCGCCCTTGCTGCTCTTCACGCCACTGACATGTTCAACCCTCCGTGCCTCTGCTCCTCTCCCATCCCCTTCTGCCCATTCTCCTCCGCACGCAATCCCCTTCACGCCCCCACGCTCGTGACGCTGGCTGTGCGCGCGCCACCCGCGCGCGGCGGTGCATGGCGCACGGCAGCACCAAGGACCCAGGGCAGCAGCCGTTCACCTTCCAAGTGGGGCTGGGCAATGTCATCAAGGGTGAGCGCCGCTGCTGCCATGCACGCACGTACACACACGTACACACACGTACACACACGTACACACACGCGCATGCACGCACACCACTCATTCCTGCGCGACCTCCATTCCCCCTCGCTTCCCGCACTTCTCCATTGGTGTTCCGTCCCGCCTTCCATTCCTCTCCGTGCCACCAGCCTCCTTCAGCCGCGTCCTCCTGTGTGCCCTCTTCCTCCCTGCGCGTCCGCATGCCCGTCCCCTGTACCAGGGTGGGACGAGAGTGTCATCAACATGCAGCTGGGCGAGCAAGCTCGCATCACTGTACGCCACCCCCTCCCCATCGCTCCGCTCTAACCGCTTCATCCTCCCTCTCCATCCTCCTCCCTTCTTATCCGTCCCATTGCTCCTCTCTCCTTTTCTCTTCGAACAAACTCCACCTTCCCCTCACACCCGATTCGATTTGCTTCCGATCCCGGTATCTGTTTACCTTTTTCCTTTCTCTCCGGACGGATTTTACCTCCCCTGCACATACCTGTGCGTTCCTATTTACCAGTCCACCCTTTGAGGATACTCCCCCAAGCTTGTGCCGAGAATGTGCGTGTGTCCCCCCATGCGTCCCTGCCCCACGTGCCTGCAGTGCACGCCTGACTATGCGTACGGGGCTGGTGGCTTCCCTGCGTGGGGCATCATGCCCAACTCCACACTCGTCTTTGACATCGAGGTGCTCTCCCTGCAGTAGCTGCTGCCACGCCTCACACGCACATGCTAGAGATTGCCGTTGTTGTTGCTGTTACCTTGTGCGTCAGGCTTTTGTTATGAGACGAAAAGGAAGTATCGGATGAACCAGTGTAGTGTGAGTTGGAGTTGCTTTGCTTGCCAAGTCCAAGCTCTGGCAAGGACAAGGCCCTGCTCTGGTTTCTTCACTGCCTGGAATGGACTGGGAGTTGAATCAACTTGTTGCAAGAACCACGTACTAAACCCTTAGCATGCAGGTGCCAATTCCGGATAGAGCAACCAGGCAGCTGCTTTTACCGTACATAGCACAGTACCTAGTGCTAGAACTATTCTCACATACCGTACCTGGCAATGGTCAACCTAACACAGCCCACTATTTAGCCAGCCAATCTAAAATGGGGACAATAATTAGCGTGAGTTGAGGGGAAGTGCCGCAGCACACTAGCACCCGACCTCAACCCGGGCCTCGTGGCCCACTCCTACCCCTTGTTGCTGCCCTGCATGCGACTCCCCACTGCCAGGCCCACTTTCCACTTGCACCATCACTTCCTCCTTTCCGTGCGCCTCCTCTCCTCCCACTCCTTGGCTCGCCTCTTCGCACATCATCTCTCTTCTGTCTACTCCTCCCTCCACACCTTTTCCACTGCCGCTCATGGAAACCCTCTGCTCTGCACCGTCTACCCTGTAGTCCGCATCTGCTTCTCCGCCCTCTTCTCTGCTCGCCTTCCCCTCCTGTCCATCTGCCCTCATTCTTTCCACTTCACCTTCAGCCACACCACTACCCCCACCACACATAATGCTCCCCTCTGTGCCACCTGTACAACTGCTCCCTGCCTTCCTCGCTCCCTCTCTCTCCCCCATCCCTTGCCCCTCGTCTTCCCCACCAACTTGCACCTCCCTCTCCCCATGCACTTTCCTCCCTTCCATTCCCTGAGCTTGCTCCGCCCTCTTCCCCTTCCGCTCCTCCTCCCCCTGCCCGACTCCTGCTTCTAACTCATTGTTGAGAGAGCTGACTGTCGCACTGTCAGCAGCAGCCACAGCAAAAGCATGACCACCATCAGCAGCAGCACCAGCAGCACCAGAACTGCTACCAGTACCATCACCAACACCAGAATCAGAGGCAGCAGCAGCAGCAGCATCGCTACCATTTGCAGTGGCAGTGACAGCAGCAGCCTCCCCCGGTGTGGCGTCGCGTGGGGCCGAGAGCTTGATTTGCAGCAGAGACTGCACGATGCTGCGACTGGCATGGGGCACACAGGGCACAGCGGCAGGCAGGGCGTGTGGCAGCAGCCAGAGAGGAATGTAGGGCAGGGAACACGCAGAGGGGCAGAAGAAACACAACAAACAGCAAGGCAAGGCGGCAAAAAACAAAGCGAGGGACGGCACGGGCGATACGAAGAACGGAGAGACACAATAGCTTGAGGCAAGAGGGCACTGGTACCATATGGGGCACTTGTTGGACTGGAAGCGGAGCGCCTTGGCACAGTGCAGGCAAAGGCAGAGGTGGCGGCATGGCAGCACAAGCGTGTCTCGTGGGTCCTCCAGACACACCACACACTCCTGCACCAGGGCGGGGTTGCACGCAGGGAGGAGACGGGCAGGGCAGGGCGAGAAATAGGGCGGGGAAGAGGGAGAAGGGGAGAGAGGGAGAGCATGGAGGGAAGGGGAAGGAGGGGGGAGGGAGAGACGTGGAGAGGCATGAGAGCAGGAAAGGAGGCCAAGGAGACACAGCAAAGACGGGAGCACAATAGATGCGAAGCGCACGTGCTTGAGCACATTCACTCGTTCCTGCTCGCTGCCAGATACAGCACCCACACCTGCTCCTGCCACTGCCCATGCTACCCTGGCTCTCCCTCCCACTCAGGAGCCCCACCATCCGCCCCCACACACACCATCCGCCCCCACACACACCATCCGCCCCCACACACACCATCCGCCCCCACACACACCATCCGCCCCCACACACACCATCCGCCCCCACACACCCCATCCGCCCCACACACCCCATCCGCCCCACGCACCACATTAGCTCCCCCTCCATTGGGATCGGCGGCCTCCCCAGGTGCGCCATGCAGTGGGGCGGGTGAGGAGGCAGGGCCATCGATGCCAAAGATCTCATGCAGCACGTACGAGCACCCGCCTACCCACAGCACCTGCTTCAACACCTGCACGCCGTACGTGCTGTCCGCCTGCCCCACACGCACGCACGGATAGCGGGACACACGGCAGGGCATGCATGCAAGTGACGGGCTGCAGTGGTTACTAAGAGGTGGAGTGTGGACACATCAGAGGGAGAAGCGGAGTGAATCCCACGTGGGGCACAAGGAGAGCAAGGCAGAAGGAGAGGCGGAGCACAGGGAGCGAGGTGAGAGGGCGTGGGAGGACCTGCTTGACAAGCGTGGCATAGGTGGTGTGCGTCTGCTGCTGCGCGCGTGCTGCTAGGTCATGCGATCGATCTGCAGGCTGGGAGAGGCACAGACGGGCACACGTGCACGCAGCATGAATGCCTGGCCACGCCTGACAGGGTTCTATCTAGTGGGAGCAGATAAGCATGCACTTGAAGTTGACCACAGGTGGAAAGCACCATCAATTGCAGCAACCCATGGATGATCAGTATTGAGGTTTACCAGTGCTGTCTGGATGCGGATGACAACGGGGTATGTGTGCGATGGTGATGTCTTGGTTGACGTCAGCTGTGCGTCCTGTGATAGGGCATGCATGTGCACGCTCTAACACACACACACACACACACACACACACGCACACACACACACACACACACACACACACGCACACACACACGCACACACACACACACACACACACGCGCACACACACACACACACACACACACACACACAAACACAAACACACAAACACACAAACGAGCACGGCAAGTATTAATGGCAGGCACATACACAGGCGTGTGCACCTGAGGTGCAGTCCAGCAATCTCAACATGGTACACATCACATCACACCATCACTCCGCACAAGTACCCTATCTCCACATCCCGTTTGCCGCCTGACCCATTTCCCTTTAGCGCTCCTTCAACCCTCATGGCTCCCCACACTCTCCCTTGCACTCGCTCCTCCCTGGGAGGCGCATGAGGGTGCAGCAAGAGGGAGCGACCTGGAAGCCATCGAAGGCGAGCAGGCGGGAGGGCGGCAGTGAGAAGGTCTGCTCCAGCCCCGCCACCACGCCCGCTGCACTCGCCTCGCGCTGTGTCACCTTCGACTTGAGCCTGGGGGGGGGGAGGGCGGAGAGACGGGAAAAGGTTGAGCAGGGGCATGCATGAGGGCGAAATGAGAGTGGAGGCATGAGGGCGAAATGAGAGTGGAGACATGAGGGCGAAATGAGAGTGGAGACATGAGGGCGAAATGAGAGTGGAGACATGAGGGCGAAATGAGAGTGGAGACATGAGGGCGAAATGAGAGTGGAGACATGAGGGCACTTGATGCAGGCTGCCATGGCGTGGCGAAAGGCAAGGGAGCGACGGACATGGACAGCCACACGGGCAACAGCACACATGCAACGCAACGTGCAACGCTAGTGTAAACCTAAACGTGCAATCCTTACATGCCTATTGAGTAGTTCGGGTCAATTTAATGCTGCTGTGCTGCTCTGCTATGCACCATGCTCCCCGTGCTACAGAAATGACATGTGTTGCCTCGCTCGCACGTACCACAAAGTTGTGTTGTGTTGTGCCGGTCCACCTCGACTGGGAGCACAACTCATCCACCTACCACACTGTCACTGGTCCACAAGGCTGCCTCCGCACCCACCCACCTGGGTGGCTTGTCTTTTCTGTGTCTGTCCTTCTCATACGCCATGACATGCACCGTCACACTGCATGGGAGCAAGGGAAGCGTGCCGAGCAGCATGTGGGGGGAAGATGGAGAGGGGTGAGGCAGGCAGGTGCGGATGAGACGGTCATTCACGGCCATGGAAACAGAGAGTGGTTTGACGCTCGCCACACCGGCCGCTGCTTGCTGCCAACACGGTGGCAACGGAGGAGCAAAGACGGTGCAATTGGGCATGGCGTGAGGGTGTTTGATGGCCCGGCTGTGGTCTTACTTGCAGGGCACAGAGCAGTCAGCGATGAAGGACAGCCCGTACACGTACGGGTGTACCACTCCCTGCCCGCCTGCTGCTGCTGCATCCCCTTCACCTGCTTCCTGCGCTGCCCCAGCTGCCCATGCTGCAGCTGCTCCTGATGATCCTGCCGATGCTGACGGTGGTGGCAGGTGGGCCGCAGACGCGGGCAAGCAGGCATCAGCCGGGTATGAGAGGGGTGGGATCTTCACCACGTTCCCACCCACACCCTCCTCTACCCCCTTAGCACACTCCCCTGAGGCTTCACCCTCATTTCCTCCCCGCTTCTCCTGCTGCTGCTGTCCGTCATGCTGTTGGGTCCTCTCACTCTCTCCTCCCCCCTCCTCCACACCTGCTTCTGTTTCAGCCTCCTGGCTCACTGTCTCCTCCCCCCCTGCTGCATCGCCATCCCCCCCTCGCTCCCCCTGGTCCCCTGGCACCGACTGCAGGCGGCGTGGCATGGGCAGCAGGTGCACGGAGTGCTTGCGCAGGTTCACCAGGCTGCGCACCGTCTGCGTGCGCTGCAGTGCGCGCGCCCAGGGGGGTGAGTTCGGTGAGGGCAAGGGAGAACACACAAAGGAAGGAAGCGGTTGACAAGAATGGAAACATAGGGCCTACTAAAGGAATAGGAAGTTGTAAAGGTGAAGGGGGGAAGGGCGGGCGAAGAGGGAAACGGAGAAAAGTAAGTGGGAAAGCAATGGGAATCATGTGCTCGTGTATTGCCGCCGTCGAAGCCTATCCCTTGCCCCAACCCACTTTCCGTACCTGTTCTTGAATTGCTGCCTGCTCGCCCTCCCCTTCCCCTCCGCCCGTCCCCCTTTCCGTCGCCTCCCCTCCCCTTCCTCCCCCTCCTCCCCCGCCTCCATCTGCCTCGCCTGCTGCTCCCCCTGTGGCCGCCGCACGGCCACCAGCAGCAGCAGCGCCACTGCCGCTGCCCGCAGCCCCTGCCTCCGCTTCCCCATCCACTGCCGTCGCTGCCGCTACAGCTGCTGCCGCCGCCGCTGCAGCGGCCGCCGTGGTGGACCGCCCAGTGCCGCCAGCGCCCGCGCCCGCCCCTGCTGCCCCGCGTCTCCCCGCGCTTCCCCTGCCCGCAGTGCCAGCGGAAGGCTGGCGGGTGGCAGGGGGTGCGCGCATCTGCGCACAACAGGGAGAACGTGGGCCGAGAGGGTGGGATGGGGGCCACGGGTACAAACTGAGCGAAGGTCCGCAAAGTACCGAAGGGGTAGGGAGGGAAGGGAGAGCGAGGGGAACGCGGTTATGTGGCGTCACCACTGCCAGGTCTTCAACGGAGCAAGGCAGCAGGTTCATTGCGGTACCTGCGCGTCTGCGCCGTTGGCCTGCGCTGCGCCTAGAGCCAAGGTGCCGCCATGCGTGCGCCATCCGCGCCCCCGCGAGGCGCCTCTGTGCTCGCGCGCGGAGGAGAGAAGCCCCGCCGTTAGCGACGACAGCCCCCGTCGCTGCCCCTCCGCTGCGCCGCTCGCCCGCTGCCTTGCCGCTGGCTCGCTGCCTGTTGCCGGCAATCCCGCGGGTTCCACTGCGGCGGGCGGTCCTTCTTCCGCCGCGCTCGTGCGGCCTGCGTCTGGGCTGCCAGCGTCTGCGGAGGCGGTATTGGCGGCGGAGTTTCTGCCGCCGCGCTCTCTGCCGTGGGCATGGAGAGAGTGCGCGGTGCTGTGGCTGTTGCCCATTCGCCGCCGCGTGTGGCAGCGGTCACCCGCACAGCACTAGTACTAACAGCCCACGCCGTCTGCAGAAGCTACACCAGTCGCCGCATGCGGCATGAACAGGAACGGCCGTAAGATGGAAGGCTAGCCGTAGGGGAAGCCAAGATTACGGTTTACTCTTGGTGGGTCGCGTATCATGCGAGGAACTGGTGAGATGCGCTGCGGTGCTGCTGTGCCTCGCTGATTTTTGTCCGTTGAGTATGGCGAGCACCGACTGTGCTGTACGGCAGATGTGATGGTGTGTGTTGCAGCTGCTTCGGCCACAGAAACAATATCGCTTTCCATCGGACCGTATCATTCGCGCTTTTCTCACTTGACGTTTTTCTGAGTCACTACAGTAACGAGGTTTTCCAACAACGCGTATGCAAAATTCAAATTTCCAAAACCATAATTGGCTTGGGGCACATTTTGCTTCCCAACCTCTTGGCTTGTTCCCCCTCGTCTCAATCCATCAGTCTCTTTCTACCTCAGCAACGCCCATAGAAACACTGAAAACTGTGACAGTCGCCGCGTAGCTGGCAATGGCGGCGAGACAAATAGCTGCGGCAGGTGGTGCGAAGAAGCGGGCGGGCGGGGCTGGCACGGATACGCAGTGCAAGCGGCTGAAGCAGCTGTCACTCTTCGGAATGCTGGCAGGCAAGAGGCGCACCGCCGCCGAGCTGACGCCTGACACGGCCGTCGCACCCATTGAGGTTCTATCTGCAGCCACGAAAAGCACTGCTGTTCTTGCAGTGACCCACCTCGACAGCAGCCGAGCTCCCACGCTCGATACGGGCAAGCAAGCCAGGGGGGCTGTAATGAGACAAAGCGAAGGCGACGTGGGCGCGGGGAATTTGATCGAAAAAATGTTCCCCGCGTATTGGACCATTGCAGGCGCATGCAGAGGCGCGTGCGCGGAGCGATGGGGCGACCGCAGGCGGCGCAACAGGAGGCTGAGGCAGTTGGGGGACGCGCAGCCGCACGCGGCGGAAGTGGGCGGCAGCAGCGGTGTGGAGAGCAGCAGCAGTGCGGATGGGCGGTGTGACTCACAAGGCGAGGAGAAGGAGGGGACTCTGCGGAGAGGCGAGGCCGCGTGTGCGGGTGGCGCGGCGCAGGCGGGAGTCGGTGACGTGGGTGATGGCGCCACGGATCTGCGGGAGACGACGCACGAGGAAGAAGGCGAGCAGGGCACGCTGCAGCGGCGCGGTGTGGGCTCGCAGGCTCACGAACCCGCCATGCCGCTCGCCTCGCCCGCTGCTGCTGCGCCGTCCAGTGTAGCGCCCACGGCCGTGGCGCTCAGCGTCGGGGGACACGGGTGCGGGGACGTGGGGAAGGAGAGTGCTGGCGGAGGTGCGTGCAGGGGAAGCGCGCGTGAGGAAACGGGGGACGCGCACAGAGAGGAGCGTCAATGCGAGGGGCAAGGGGAAGGAGGTGAGGGGATTGGGAACGGCGGTGGAGGGCGGAGAGCAGTGGCGGGGGAGTCGGAGGGCGGAGGGGGAGACGGACTTGGGCGGAACGACGCAGCTGGCGGAGAGCGATCTACTAGTTGTGGGGGGGATGCGGGCGGTGGTGCGCGTGCTGCTGTACAGGGCGGGGAAGCAGCGCGCGCACATGGCGCGATGGATAGTGACCTGGTGCCACGTGATGTGCGCGGTGACATGACGGCACGCGCGTACGAGGAGGCGACGACCTGCGAGGTGGTGAATGGAGCGACGGATGAGAGGGCGGGACGCGGAGAGGCAAGGGTGGACGCGCAAAGGGCGGAGGAGGAGAACGAGGAGGAAGACGACGAGGGGGGTGAGGAAGAGGAGGATGATGACGAGGAGGAGGATGAGGGAGGCGAGGAGAGCAGCGAGGCAGGTGCAGCGGAGGCGGGGCCACTGACGGAGTACGAGAAGCGGCGGCTGGCGAACATACGGCGCAACCAGCAGCTCATCCTCTCCCTCGGCATCGAACCTCTCGTCCCGCGCTGCCCGCCGCCACCCACGCCCACGAGCTGCAGTGGCAGCGGTGGCGGACGGAACAAGAAGCGGCCGGGCCGGGCGGGTGGCGGCGTGGACGCGGTCGGGTACGCGGAGGTCCGGCGCAGCTCGCGGCTGAGGGGGAAGCCGCAGGGGGAGGGCGGAGAGGGGCGCGGAGGAGATGGGGGGAAGCAGGCAGAGGGCGGGGAGGGAGTGGGAGAGGGGGTGCATGGGGAGAGTCATGAGGAGGAATGCAGTGAGGAGGATGACGTGGCGTATGGTGACTCGTCCGTGGTGAAGTACCTGTGCCGTGTGCTCGGGGGTGCAGGGGCGCAGGAGGAGGGCGAGGGGCATGAGAGGCGCGCAGGCGAAGGAGATGGCAGTGGAGGGGAGAGGGGAACGTGCGTGCAGGCAACAGTGAGCGCGGCAGGAGGGGATGGAGAGAATGGGGTGGGTGGCGAGGTTGGTGGTGTGAAGGGAGCCCTCCCATCACCACCCCATGGATGCTGCGCGGCAGAAGCGACGCCCGCATCGGAATCGATGGCGCTGGGGTTGGTGCAGGGCGCGCACATGCAGGACGGGCGGCTGAGCAGAATCTACAGCGTGCACGTCCTGCCCATGGGAGTGGGAGCACAGGGGAGTGGGAGCGGGAGCAGCGGTGGCAGTGGGTGCTACCTGCTGGCAGCAGGGGGGCATCAGGGCCGCATTGCAGTGTTCGGTGCGACAGGCGCACGTGGGGGGAATGCAGGGGACGTGGGAGCGGGAGGTGCCAAGGGAAGAGTGTGGTGGTCGATGGAGGGAGGGGGGGAGGAGGGGGAGGAGCAGCAGGGCGACGAGGTGGCACCACTGCTGTCATGGAAGGGTGGAAACGGATGGATCTCGCATGTTCAGTTCCTCTCACAGCAACAGCAGGTGTGCCTCGTCACCGCACCCTCCTCTTCTACTCCCTGTCATCATTGTAACCACCATACCACTGCTCTCTCATGTCTTCCCCTGCCAGTGCCCTCACTCACCCTGCTGCCTTGTGCACTGCTCTCCTTTCTTCTCTCCTGTTCCTTGTGCCTTCCTCCAGGAGGGTGCCACCCTACTGCTGTCCAGTAGCAACGACAGCACCATCACTCTCTGGGACATCAACCGCCACCACTGCACCCCTTCTGCCTCCTCCACTCGCCGCCGCCGCCGCGTGCAGGCCTCAGTCTCGCCCAATGACACGGTGCCACGTGTGGTGTGTGAGCTGGCGGGCGTGCACGGGCAGGGCATATTTGGGATGCACGAGAGGGGGCTGCTAGTGGCAGCGGCGTCCAAGGACAAGACCGTGTCTCTGTGCCGCGTGGGGCCCTCTGCCCTCTCCCTCCTCCGCCTGCTCACCCACCACGACGTGCCTGTGCGCGCCGTGCACCTCCGGTACACCCTCACACCACCCGCCCAGCATTGCACTTTTCGTCCTGCATGCATGCCCCTCCACCCTGCAAAACACCATATTGCACTGCCCTCCTCTAACTCTCTCTCTTGCACCGCTTGCATTCAATTCTCTCCCACTCGTCCCTCCTCCCCCGTCTCGCTCCTTCTCTCCCCCTCTCGCCCCTCACTCTCTCACTCAACGGCTCCTATTCTTCCCTTCCCCCCCGGCTCGTGCATGTGACAACAGTGACAATGATGTGTTGGTGGATGGAGCAGCGGATGGCAGCATAGCAGTGGTGGACACGAGGGCAGCAGCACCTGTGGCAGTGGCTCTGCATCACTGCCACTCCTCCCAGGTCAACACCGTGCACTGGCAGCCCTGCACATCCCCCGCCTCACCTTCCACCTGCACCACTGGCACTGACACCACCAGCACCAGCGCCAGCGCCAGCAGCAGCAGTGGCAGCAATGTGGTGCTGTCGTCCAGCTTCGACCATGCTCTGCTTGTGAACGACATTCGCTCGCCCGCCACTCCTCTCTTCACCCTCTCAGGCCACCACACGCACGCCACCTCCCTATCAGCGCGCCATTCCACCCAGATACTCCGCCCTGCATTTGTGGATGGAGGCAAGTTTGTGGTGGTGCTGGTGCCTCTGAGCAGCACCCGTGGCAGCAGCAGTGGAGGGTGTCGTGTGGCGCTCTACTCCATGGAGTCAGGCAAGCTCGTCAGCTGTGGCAGCACGCATGTGGATGCCACTCTCGCATTTGCTTTGGATGGACCGGCCGTGTCAAGTGGAAGGGGTGATGTGCTGCGTGATGTGTGGCTAGCAGGGAAGTCAGTTGCTCAGTTTAGGCCCTTGTGGATGTAGCTCGTGATTTCACTTGCCTCATAGGGTCGTGTATGCTGAATGTTTTAGTTGAAGGATAGTAAGCAATCGTTTGTATCGAGATGCCTTATGTAGTGCAGATTTTCCCTCGCGCACTCCAGTTCATCTGATTCAACTCGCATGTTCGCTGCTGAGATGCGGTCGCAGACGACCAGAATACAAGCCCACCACGCACTTCCCCCTACGCGTTCACTCGCCCCCTTCCATAGCAGAATGCGCCTCGCGAGTTCCTAGCACGAAGGCAGCCAGGAGAAAACACGGCAGTACTTTGCTACATTGCCCCCATGCGCGCGTCCTCTGTTCTCTCCGTCCGCGCCGCCAGCGCCCCTTACAATGAGCCCCGCGCGCCCGCGGCTTCTTGCCACTGCGCTGTCGCTTGTCGTCGCTCTCTCGCTGCTGCCCCTCCGCGCATGCCTTGCTGATGCCACGCCCGCGGAGGCCGATGGACGGCGGCCGTGCGCCATCGCCCCTGAATGCACGTCCGCTCATGGGGGTGGGATCACGCCGCCTGAGGACATTGATGCGCCGACTCAGCCCCGCCCCGCGATCTCGTCCCCCCTCTCCCCTCCCCCACCTCTGTCTTCCGCTCCCCACGGCACCGCCTTTCCCCCTTCTGCGCGCGTGTCCGCCTCCCCCTGTCCCGCCCATCCCCTGCTCGGCCCGTCCGCCTCTCTCTACGACGTTCTGGTGCTCCCGCGCACCGCGTCATGGGAGGACGTCCAATCCGCGCACGACACGTGTCTTGCGAGCTGGTGGCGCGCCACAGCAACAGAGGCGGCGCAAGTCAGTCGACAGCGCGCCGTGCAGGTAGGGGGGCGGCAACCGAGGCGCGTGGCTCCTGCAGCACGCGGCACGGCGTTGCTTTGGGCAGATCCATGTCTTGTGCTCCCACTCCTGCCTTTCTGCCGGTCCCTGCCCCTTCCACTCTCCTCCCCTCTCTGCACTCACACTACTCCCCCTACCCAACACCGCCCCGTGCCCTTGTCCTCCCGCATTCTTCCCGCCCACTACCACCCACCGATGCAGGTGGAGCAGGCACACCGCGTGCTGTCCAGTGCCAGGCTGCGCCGCCTGTACGACCTGCTGGGGGAGGATGACGTGGCGCATGCTGCCTATGATGTGGCTGTCATGCGCGGTGGTGGCGGAGGTGGGCGGGAAGCAGAGACGCAGGCAGATGCTGACATGGGAGTGGAAATGGGCACGGACTGGGAGTGCTGCGAGTGGCTGGCTGCTCACAGCAACCACAGTGGAAGCAGCAATGAGGGCAGCAGGCGCAGTGGCAGCGACACGATGGCAGGGCAGGGACAGAGCATGGGATCACACTGTGCCAGTCTCCCCCACCACCACTCCCTGCCTGCCGCCTGCTGCTCCTCCTCCGCTGCACACCACCTGCCTCACTCGCTTCCCCTCGCCACCGCCTGTTCCGCTTGCCTCTTTGCCTCCCTGCTGCCACCCTCCCCTCATGCGCCTTACCTCCGGCCGTCGCCTCCGCCCCTGCCGGCCTCGCACGTGTGGCTGCAGCAATCAACGCCCATCACAGCAGGGAACATAGCAGAGGCAGTGTTTGGCAGCCCACACCCCTGGCTGCTGCTGCTGCTCTCCCTCTCCTCCCCGCGCTCCCTCGCACTGCTGCCCGCGTGGTCCACCCTGGGCACGCAGCTCAAGGGCATTACACGCCTGGGCCACGTGGACGCGGGGCACGACACACACGTCGCCCTGCGCCTCGCTCCGCGCACCTGCCTGCCCGCTCACACGCGCTTCCCTGCCGGGCTGCCTGTCGTGCTGGCCCGCCCCATTGGGTGCCGTCACGTGGACTGCCTGCTGCGCCTCTCCACGCGCTCGCCCCGTGTCTCATGGCTGCAACGGCTCACACGGAAGGGGCACGAGGACAAGGAGGAGGACGGGGAGGAGGGAGACGAGAGAGGGGCGGAGTGGGAAGGCAAGTTGTTATCAGGCCATGTGCGGGGCATGAAGGGGAAGGCGGATGATGGTGGTGGGAGGGGTAGTGGGGACAAGGCGGATGATGCCGGTGCATGGCCTGCAGACCCCATGACTCGCCTTCGCGAGTTCCTGGTGGCAGCGGGGGAGGTGCTGGGGGATGGGAGCGCAGCAGCACACAGCGGCAGTGGTGCTGGGCGCATTGAGGATGAGGTTAGAAATGGTGGTGGGCGTGGGGACGAGCACACTCATGTTGGTGCCACCACCAACCCCAACGGAGCTCATGCTCCCTCTGCTGCATGCCCTGCCGCCCCATCGCCCTGCACCTCCTCACCACCATCACACACCATAGACCCATCACACCCCGGCCATATGGACACTTCAAACTCCCTGTTCTCCCTCCTCCACCTCTCCCCATCGTCCCCCTACCACCATCTCAGAGCCCCCCCTCCGCCGCTGCCCTCCCTGCGTCAGCTGCGCCGCTTCGCCTTCCTCTCCCTCCTGCGAGTACCCCCCATCCCCGTGGTGCCGCTACAGCACCTGCCCATGCGCTTCTTCCGCACCGCCCCCGACCGCACCGTGCGCTTCGTGCTGCTGCTGCCACGCGCACACCGCCACGCATCGCTGGAGGCGCGCTACTGGGCGAGCAGGAGTGCAGGGCGCGTGGCGTGGGTAGCAGTGCCATGGGAAGAGAGCGATGCGGCGGCATGGCAGCGGTGGTGGCGCGTGCAGCAGCCGCCCGCCCTGGGCATATACCGTGACCCGGGTGTGGTACCACTGGTGCTGCCGGGCCCACTCAACTCCACCGTGCTGCGCCATGCCCTGCTCCACCACTCCTCCTTCCTCCTCCCCCGCCTCTCCGCCTCCTCCGCTGCCCGCCTTGCCTGCGACCCTTCCGCCCCAGCCCCTCCTCCGCCCTACTTTCTCTCTCCGCTGCTCGCCCCTCCACCTCACAGGCGAACGGGAAAGCGCGGAGGTGGCATTGGGGAGGCTGGGCGTGGTGGCAGCACGTGGAGGGATTATGATGCGGGGCAAGATGAAATGGGAGGGGAGGGAGGGGAGGAGGGAAGGAGGAGGTGGGTGAGGGCGAGGGAGAGGGAGGTGCGCATGAGGACGAGGTACTGTGTGGTGGTGGTGGGCACTCCATCCCCTGCTCTGCATAAAGCTCGAGCTGCCTTTCTGGAAATACAGCACGCCATAGCTGCTGCCGCTGCTGATGATGGTGATGAGTGTGGTGAGGATGGTGCTGCTGCTTGTGATGCGGATGATGGCGGTGATGCTGCAAGCGATAGCAGGGGTGCTGTGCACGTGGCGGATGCTGGCAGTGCGACGGGTGCTGCTTTTGGCGCATCTTCTGCAGCCCAATGCGCTGCTGACAGCACCACTGCATTGACATGTGCTGCTGCAACAGGTGATGGTGATGGTGGTGGTGCAGACACGGAAGCAGGCAAACAACACGAGCAGCAGCAGCAGCAGCAGCAGGGGCAGCAGGGGCAGGGGCAGGGGCAGAGGCAGGAGGGCCTTGGCATGCAGGGGAGTGTGCCAGCAGCGGTGGTGGCAGCAGCAAGAGAAGGGCGGGTGGCAATAGCATGGGTGGACGGCACGGTGCAGGTGCGGTGGTGTGCGTACATGCTGGGCTGGCAGGGCGCCCTCTGGTGCCAGCGTTCTGGCCGTGCCACTGCCGTGGGCGCCTTCATGACCCGCCTGCGCTGGGGTGGGGGCAGGGGCAGGCGGGCCAGGGGGGAGGGTGGTGGGGAGGGGAGGGGGGATGGGCGCAAAGAGGCGGTGATAGGTGATGGGGCAAGGGATGGTATTGATTTGGACGGGGAGGGTGAGGAGTATGGCGATGGGGACGGGGATGACTGGGATGACGAGGAGAATGACGGTGAGGGGGGGAGTGAGCAGCAGGGAGGCAGCAGGCCATCATTGCTGGTGTCTGTGTACGGAGGCCAGGTGGATGGCAGCAATGCCACGGGTGTGATGCACTGGATCAACCACTGCGTGCACACGGGAGATTCCTCCATACCACCCCCCTCCCCCCACCACTGGGCTGCCTCCCCCTCTTCCTCCTCTGCTGAGGGCGATAGTCACGACGCACATGGTGGCAGCACCAACCATGCAGGCAGTAGCGCCCCTGGCAGCAGCAGTGCAAGCAGCAGCAGCAGTGGGCAGGAAAGCAGGAGCGCAAGTGGGGATGCGGGTAAGAGCCTATCGCTGATATGGGGCCCAACCCACGAGGCACCGGCACTTGTAGACGAGGACACGGCCTCCACCTTCCAGTCACTGCACCACCGCCTCCGCTCCTCGCTCTCCTCCCTGCTCTCCTCCTGCTCCACCGCACTCCACCGCTGCCTCTGCACGTACCTCGTTCGTCCCTTGCTGTCCCTGCTGCCCGACCACTGGCTGCATACGGCAGCAGCGGCTGCAGAATGGACGGGAGAGGTGGTCGCTGCTGCCGCTGCGGCTGCGATGGCGGGTGCTGCAGGCGTGGCAGAGGGAGATGGAGGGTTCCTGCGAACGCTCGCTCTGGCTGTTGCTGCCAGGTGCGTGCTCAAGATGGTGCTGGCTCGCAGGGGGGAAGGGGGTGATGGTGGTGGCTAGAGGGGGAGGACAGGAGGAAGAGTGAAGGGGTATGGCTAGAGAGAGTGCAGTGGGGCAAGACGCCCAGAAGCAAGTTCAGTGGGAGAAGACATACCGGGGCGTGGACATGGGGGAAGGAATGAGGGGAGGGAGGAGGGACAGATGAGAAACGCGATGATAAGCAGGTGGCAGGGTTGGTTGATCTGGGTTAAGGGGTTAGCGTGGGTGAATGCAGCCCTTGGTGCACTGTTGTACATTGCTGTAAGGAAATCCGTGTTGTGCATCGCACAAAAGATTGCATTCTTCATTTCACACGCCCTGACAAGATGAAAGCAGCATCTCATGCCCCAATGGCACAAGCCACGGCATCCATAGAGCTATTTTTGCTAACACTGCATTCAATCTAAGAGACGTTTTCGACATATGTGGCAATGCCATTGGTGGTTCTGGCTATAACGAGGACATCCTTGGTGCCCAGGGTTCGTTTCCTGGACGTGCTGTCAGGAGTGAGGGCAGTCAACGAGTGAGCAAGGGAGGAGTGCAGCACATGGCACTTGAACAGCCGCACAGCCAGCAGGCTGTCTCCCATGACATGCATCTCCGCCCTACCCTGCACACACAGCCATGCACGCACCGCCACACATGCACATGGGTGTCAGTGCACGCTGCTGCTGGGACAGGTGAGTTGAACTGCAGAAAGGTGATTGGGTGGGTTGGGGGAGTGATGTGAAGGTGAGGAGGAGAGTGAGCGCGTGTGGTGGTGGCTGTTGGCAGCATGGTTACCTCTTGTGGCACGTGGAAGGAGGAGAGCGCGTCACACAGGTCCAGAGTGAGATGCTGCAGCGCTGGCAGCTGCCATTGGGGCAGGGGGAGGGAGGGGAGAGGGAGGGCGGGATGAGATGGCGGGGTGCTGGGATGAGGGGAATGCAGAGACGAAGTGGATGTGCAGGTAAGGGTGGGATTGCATCAAGGCTGTGACCCTTACTCCCATCTGCCGTACCCCCATGAGCCTTACCCTGCTACACGCCTGCTGAATGAAGTCTGGGGTCGCTTGCTTGCCCTGATGCCAGAGGCCGGCAGACAGACGCGGCACATGGTATGAGGGTGGTGGCAGGGGATAGTGGGGGGTGGGGAGAAACAGAGGCATGCATGTGGGATGCAGGCAGGGCGGAGAGAAGTAGAGAAAGGGGAGCAGAGAGGAGAGAAGGGTGGAGAGGGGCGGACGGGGGGGTTGAAGGGAGTGAGCGAGACAAATAGATGGAATGAGAATAATAGCAGCAAGGCACAGGGGCATGCAGAAGAGGGCAGCAGGGTGAGGTGCAGAGGGGCGGAGAGAGGTGAGGCACTGCCTCCCAGAGGCACATACAGTGTGGCGCAGGTGCAGCGAGGAGAGGGCGCTGAGGGCGAAGAGGGATGCTGGCGCATGGACGCTGAAGAGGTTAGGGCACTCCTGACGAGGGGAAAGCGGGACAGAAGAGGGGCAGTGGGAGAGGGGGTGCAGAGTGAGAGGGATGGAGAACGCAGTGGAACGTGGCGGGGATGGTGGGGAAGAGAGGCGACTAGCAGGAGAGACGAGTTGAGCAGTGCTGGTGGGTGGATGGTGTGAGGCCGACCAACACAAGCAAAGGAAACGGTGTGAATGCAGTGCGTGGCGGCTCCCCTGCACACGGTGTGAATGCAGTGCGTGGCGGCTCCCCTGCACACAGTGTGAATGCAGTGCGTGGCGGCTCCCCTGCACACGGTGTGAATGCAGTGCGTGGCGGCTCCCCTGCACACGGTGTGAATGCAGTGCGTGGCGGCTCCCCTGCACACGGTGTGAATGCAGTGCGTGGCGGCTCCCCTGCACACGGTGTGAATGCAGTGCGTGGCGGCTCCCCTGCACACGGTGTGAATGCAGTGCGTGGCGGCTCCCCTGCACACGGTGTGAATGCAGTGCGTGGCGGCTCCCCTGCACACGGTGTGAGTGGTGTAGGCCTTAAGATGAGCCGGGCTTACAGTGAGCGTGAGTGAGGTGAGTGCTGGAAAGGAGTTGGCGAGTATGAGAGGCGCATCTGATGGGGACAGGACGAGGGAGAGGAAGGAAATAGGAGGTGAGGGTAACCAGGATACAAAGGGAAACGAACGAAAGCTTGCAGTGAGACAGGGACGAAACTTGAAACAAGGATGAAGCGGATAGGGGTGCAGCAGAGGCACACACCTTGGGAGAGGGAGGGGCAGGAGGAGAGAGAGAGGGAGCGCAGAAGCGGAGCAGCGGAGGCAAGGGCAGCGAGGTGAAGAGTGGAGAGCCAGGCAAAGCCGCCCCCCAGGGAGAGAGATGTGAGGCGTGGCAAGGTGGCGGAATGGGCAAGCACTGAGGGGCCATGGCTGTGGGCATGGGGATGAGCGTGGCCATGGTGCGTGCATGCAGCTACTGATGCTTGTGCTGTGGGGAGCGGTAAAGAGAAGAGCGCGGGGGAGAAGGGGCCCCAGCAGTGCAGCAGGGAGAGGTGGCGGAGCGGACAGGCGGCGAGGAGAGGCAGAACACCGTCATCTGACACCGGCTGGGATGGCATGGGGTGGGGTGGCGTGGAGAGGGGGACGGGGGTCGGGTGCAATAGGAGGAGAGAAAAAGGCATTCAAAGAGACGACAGCAGAGGACGAAGACGAAATACTAAGAGCATGGCATGTGGGTGAGATTGTGAACAGCTAGGAACTTGCTATTGGGCAGCACGGTGGAGAGGGACGAGAGTAGCGTGTGACGTGCGTGCAATGCTGACACACACACACACAGAGACACACACACACACACACAGACACACACACACACACAGACACACACACACACAAACACAGAGACACACACACACACACACAGACACACACACACACACAGACACACACACACACACAGAGACACACACACACACACACACAGACACACACACACACAGACACACACACACACACACACACACACACACACACACACACACACAGAGACACGTGAGAATGCGTCACCTGGAAGGTGAGTGAGAGTGCTGTGAGGCGAGGGCAGCACGCGGCAATGGCGCGCAGCGAGGCATCGGAGATTGTGGCGCCCAACCCCAGGGCGAGGGCGCGCAGGCTGTGCGATAGGGGGAAGGCATGTAGCGGTGGTGGTGGTGGTGGTGGTGGAGACGAGCGCACAGGGGCGGGACTTGTGGGCGGGTTGAGGGTGCAGGGGGGGATGGAGAGGGAGAGGGGAAGCGCCCAGGAGGCATGGAGAGTGGTGAGGTGCGGGGGGATGGTGATGATGGTGATGGGCGGAGCGGAAAGGGCGGAGGAGGAAGGGGGGCGTGGAGGGGCGGGCTTGCCACATCCGGATATGAGGAGGTGACGCAGGCATGGGGCTGATGCACACAGGGCGCTAAGGGCACCCGGTGACAGCTGCCAGGGCGCAGAGAAGACGGGGTGGTATGGTATGGGGGTGGTGGGGGACGGGAGAAGTTGGGAAGTGGTGAGGATGTGACGTTGGATGCTGAAGGGGAAGGAGAGTGGAGTGGAGAAGCAGGAGGGTGAGGAAGCGCAACAACAAAGTAGCAGAGCGCTGAGATGACATGACACCAGCATGATGATGTGGTGTAGTGAGGGCAGCGGCATGGCATGTGGGACTGACAGGGGCATCGGAGACATTCAGATGAGTCAAGTGGGGCAGCGCCGCAGTGCCATCACTGCTGCTCCAGCCTGCAGTGGTGCAGAACACGGCCTGTGCAGCGAGGGTGCGAGCGCCCTGTAGCCACGACGCCACGAGCGCATCATCCACGGCACCGGGGCGTTCCTCGCCCCTGCCCGCCCCTCCCTGTGCCTCCCTGCCCCTCCCCTTGCCCTTAGGTGCTGCTGGTTCCCCCATGCGGCCGGGAGTAAGGGTGTGAGCGAGGGAGAGGTGCGTGAGGGAGGGGCTGGCCGCTGTGAGCAGGTGTAGGAGAGGGAGGGCGTGGTGCAAGGCTGCTTGGGGCCGGGATGGGGTATGCCACACGGATGCAACGGGGGTACAGATGCGAAGGGAGAGGGATGGGAGATGGGCATCAGACAGGGATGAGCAGAGGGAAAACCCGAGAAGAAGTGTGGTTGTGGGGTGAAAAAAGGGGAGGGGACAAACACAAGGAGCACAAACGAGACAGTGAGGGACTCACCAGGGCATCCATCCAGCTCAAGCTTCCTGAGCCCACCGTAGGTGCCGCTCACCCCACAGTCCTCCCTTCTCCCTTCCTCCACGCCCTCCTCATCTCCCTCCTCATGTCCCTCACTCACTCCATCATCTTCTTCTTCTTCCTCCTCCTCCTCCTCCTCCTCCTCCTCGTCATCCTCACTCTCATCCTCGTCCACCTCCTTCACTTCGTCCTTCTCTTCTTCTCCTTCCTCCTCTTCTTCCTCACCACCATCACCCTCATCCACACCCTCTCTTGCCCCTGCAGCGGCCGTGAGAGCACGGGAGAGCGCAAGCAGAGAGCGCACGCCAAGGCGAGTGTGGGACGCGCACAGGTGGGACAGCTGCAGGCGGCACCGGGGGAGTTCACCAATGCAACGACCTGAGTGCCTGGGGGACGGGCGCTTGGAGCAATGAGACCAGGCGCTCGAATGGCCACCCTTTTGTTGCCGTGCGGATGTCACAGTGGGAGCGGTGCGCGAGGCGGGGGAGGGAGCGGGTCGCGTGTAGGAGGAGATGAGGGCGGCGAGGGCACGGTCGGAGAGCGAGGTGCACCCCGTCATGTCCATGCGAGTGAGGGCGGGGCAGGCGAGCACAAGGTCCATCAGCTGCCCGTCTGCACTCCAGGCCATGGGCACGCACGCACATGGACACATGGGCACGCACAGGGGATGGGACAGGGAGAAGGAGAAGCAGTGGTGTGCGTGAGCGCCGCTTTCAATGGCTGTGGAACGCAATGCACCTAGCAACAGCGCCTCTCACAGCAGCCTTTGCTGGCCTGAGAGGTGCTGCTGAGAGGCAAGGCATGAATGCAAGGCGAGGCAGAGGGAGTACCTGAGAGGTGCTGCTGCCAGCGCAGCGAGAGCGAGGTCACATGGGCGAGCCTCCACGGGTTGTACAGGCGGTGCAACGGCACCAGCATGCTCGCTGTCTCCCCCACCCCTTCCTCGCCCCTGCCCTCCTCCGCATCCCCTTCCCCTTCCTGCTCTTTTTCGTCCTCCTCTTGCTCTTCCTCTCCACCTCCATCCACCCGCCTGTCCGCTGCCTGGTGTGCTGCACGCCTCCCCTGCCCTGCACTCCTGCCATGCCGTCCCTTGAGTCCACTGGGAGCCCCTGCACTTGGGGTACACGGACTCGCCTGCTTCTTCTTACCACTCGCGCCTGTGATGCTGGCCGTGCTAGCACCCTTGTGTGTCTTCTTGCTGCCACCCTTGCTCTTTCCCTCCCCATCCCCATCCGCAACACTAGCACCAGTGCTAGCACCAGCACCAGGCAGAGCAGCCGCACCCCCCCCTGACCCCACAACACCCCTGCAAAACACCGGAGGCTCGGGCAGGGAGAAATCTGCCGACTGAAGCTTCGGGCAGAAGGAGGAAAGGTCGTGGAGGGTGGGGACAGGGAGCAGGGCGGGGCAGGAGCGGGCGGTGAGACGGCGCAGTGACAGCGGTGGAGGCACCGCTGCTGCCCACGTGCGGAGATGCGATGGCTGCAGCAGCGAGCAGTGTGAGATGTCCAGGTGGGCGCGCATAGGGGCCGGCGGGAGGGGCAGGAGATGCTGAAAGGCAGCTGTGGGTGGGGTGTGAGGGGCGAGGTACGGGTCGAGGTGTCGAGTGGATGGAGTGGAGGAGGCTGTGGGGGATGGAGGAGGGGAGGCGGGTATGCATGGTGCGATGGGGGTCGACCTTGCGTGGTGGGTGAGTGGGAGGGACGATGCGAGGAAGGCGTCCGGGGCGAGGGAGCAGCAGCCGGAGAAGGAATAGACCTGCATGGGGGGCAGTGGTGGATGGACAGCATGAGCGACGTGCAGCAAGGGTGAACAGGAGCGTGATGGAGACACGGTGAGCGGAAGCTAAGGGTGTGTCAGCCCATGAACGACTCGGTGAAAGGCGAGAGCACAATGGTATGTAAGGGCCAGCGCACATGCCTGTGTCCATGGCGAGATGTACACACGCCCTCCCTCACTGCTCCCTCCCTCTCTCCTGCCACTGCCACTGCCACTGCCGCTGCTGCTGCTGCTGGCGCCACTGCTGTCATCCCTGGTGCTGGCATGGTGCTGGTTGCTGGGCTGTGCGTGGTGGGTGGCAGCAGCAGCAAGAGACTGGAAGAGCTGGCCCAAGGGGGCTATGGGGCACGCAGGAGGAAGCGGGGGGGGAGGACGCACGGGGCAAAAAGGGAGGGACGGAAGGAAATATGGTGTGGCACATGGCAGGTGGTGGCGTGCGCGTCACGAAGTGCTGTGAGCGTGCTGCACGTGCCACCGACGCGCATGGTGTGGACGAGGGGAAGGTGAACGTGCAAGTGGGGGGTTGGTTGGAACTTGGAGGAAACGAGAGAGGATGCGGGATAAGTTTCGGTCAGATATGAGCAGCAAGGGAGAGGGAGGGGAGGATGGAGAGGGGCAGGGGGAAGAACGGAAGGGACGAGAGGGAACATAGACGGAGATCATTTGAATGTGGAGATGAGGTTGATTTCAAGGTGAGGGCGAGGGTTGGAAGCAGACGGCTTACATTGGAGGAAGGCGGGAGGAAGCAGACGGCTTACATTGGAGGAAGGCGGGAGGAAGCAGACGGCTTACATTGGAGGAAGGCGGGAGGAAGCAGACGGCTTACATTGGAGGAAGGCAGGAGGAAGCAGACGGCTTACATTGGAGGAAGGCGGGAGGAAGCAGGGACTGGTTAACCTGCACGCGGGCGGGGAGAGGGGAGTGGGAGGGATGGGATGAACTAAGGAAAGCTGCGGTGGTGAAGCAAAGGGCGGTAGTAGTGGTGGCTCAGTTGAGATGATTGAGCCTGATGACATGTGCCAGTGCACGGCCGTGTGCAGGCATTGAAGTGCACGTGTGTGCGCATTGAAGTGCATGTGTGTGCGCATTGAAGTGCATGTGTGTGCGAATTGAAGTGCATGTGTGTGCACATTGAAGTGCATGTGTGTGCACATTGAAGTGCATGTGTGTGCGCATTGAAGTGCATGTGTGTGCGCATTGAAGTGCATGTGTGTGCGCATTGAAGTGCATGTGTGTGCGCATTGAAGTGCATGTGTGTGCGCATTGAAGTGCATGTGTGTGCGCATTGAAGTGCATGTGTGTGCGCATTGAAGTGCATGTGTGTGCGCATTGAAGTGCATGTGTGTGCGCATTGAAGTGCATGTGTGTGCGCATTGAAGTGCATGTGTGTGCGCATTGAAGTGCATGTGTGTGCGCATTGAAGTGCATGTGTGTGCGCATTGAAGTGCATGTGTGTGCGCATTGAAGTGCATGTGTGTGCGCATTGAAGTGCATGTGTGTGCGCATTGAAGTGCATGTGTGTGCGCATCCCTGCGTGTGTGAGGTATGAGGCGAGTGCAGTGGCAGGGGCAGCAGCACGTACGTGGGCCATGAGGTTGCATGCCACACTCCTCATATGCTCTGACAGCAACGGGGGCCATGGCCGCGCATTCTGCACACTGCCCTCCCTCTGCACGCCTTGCATGTACACATAACCATCGCCACTCAATCCACTGCCATACTCCTCCTCCTCCCCCCCCTCCGCGTCTTGCCCTTCCCCCTCCACTAATTCTCGGTGCAGCCATCCCGCCTGTGCTGCGCCTTCACCACTGCTAACCTCACCCGCCTCCCCTGCCTGCCCCAGCGCCCACCACAGCAGCACTTCGCACAGCCACTGCTCACTGCACATCACAACAACACACAGAGCACAGCGGAAAAACGTGAACACGGGGCACAGGGGGAACGGATGGGAGGAAGTAGATGAGGGAATGGCCAGATGGGTGGGCGAGCAGGAACAAGGCGTGATCAGAAACGGGAGGGCAAAGGGTGCTGGAAGCAGTGTGGGCGAAGGGGAAACAGCAGCCTGCCTAGGCACGTTGAGCAGTGCACGTTGGGTGGCCAGCACTGCGTGCAGCAGCGATGACGGCAGCAGTGGCACGCAGTGACGCTGCTCACACGCCAGGTGCGGCTGATGGGCATCAGCAGAGGGGGGCGAGAGAGGAGGGGCAGAAGGGCAGAGGGGCAGAGGGGCAGAGGGGCAGAGGGACAGGGGGGCAGGGGGGCAGGGGGGCAGAGGGGCAGAGGGAAGGGCGAGAGAAAGAGAGGGCAGTGGGAGGGAGGAATTCAGGTAAGGAAATGGAGGGCACGGATCGTGTGACCGACAGGGAAGAGCAAGCAAGGAAAACTAGACGAGCAAACACACGGCAAGCTTACGAGCGTGCGGTGCAGCGTATGAGCGGGCGGTGCAGCGTATGAGCGGGCGGTGCAGCTTATGAGCGGGCGGTGCAGCGTATGGGCGGGCGGTGCAGCATATGAGCGGGCGGTGCAGCATATGAGCGGGCGGTGCAGCGTATGGGCGTGTGGTGCAGCGTATGAGCGGGCGGTGCAGCGTATGAGCTGGCGGTGCAGCGTATGAGCGGGCGGTGCAGCTCATGAGCGGGCGGTGCAGCGTATGAGCGGGCGGTGCAGCTTATGAGCGTGCGGTGCAGCATATGAGCGGGCGGTGCAGCGTATGAGCGGCGGTGCAGCGTATGAGCGGGCGGTGCAGCGTATGAGCGGGCGGTGCAGCGTATGAGCGGGCGGTGCAGCGTATGAGCGGGCGGTGCAGCTTATGAGCGGGCGGTGCAGCGTATGGGCGGGCGGTGGAGCGTATGAGCGGGCGGTGCAGCGTATGGGCGGGCGGTGCAGCGTATGGGCGGGCGGTGCAGCGTATGAGCGTGCGGTGCAGCATATGAGCGGGCGGTGCAGCGTATGAGCGGGCGGTGCAGCGTGTGAGCGGGCGGTGCAGCGTATGAGCGGGCGGTGCAGCTTATGAGCGGGCGGTGCAGCGTATGGGCGGGCGGTGGAGCGTATGAGCGGGCGGTGCAGCGTATGGGCGGGCGGTGCAGCGTATGAGCGTGCGGTGCAACATATGAGCGGGCGGTGCAGCTTACGAGCGGGCGGTGCAGCGTATGGGCGGGCGGTGCAGCGTATGAGCGGGCGGTGCAGCATATGAGCGGGCGGTGCAGCGTATGAGCGGGCGGTGCAGCGTATGAGCGGGCGGTGCAGCGTATGAGCGGGCGGTGCAGCTTATGAGCGGGAGGTGCAGCGTATGGGCGGGCGGTGGAGCGTATGAGCGGGCGGTGCAGCCTATGGGCGGGCAGTGCAGCGTATGAGCGTGCGGTGCAGCATATGAGCGGGCGGTGCAGCATATGAGCGGGCGGTGCAGCGTATGAGCGGGCGGTGCAGCGTATGAGCGTGCGGTGCAGCGTATGAGGGGGCGGTGCAGCGTATGAGCGGGCGGTGCAGCTTATGAGCGTGCGGTGCAGCATATGAGCGGGAGGTGCAGCGTATGAGCGGGCGGTGCAGCGTATGAGCGGGCGGTGCAGCGTATGAGCGGGCGGTGCAGCGTATGAGCGGGCGGTGCAGCTTATGAGCGGGCGGTGCAGCGTATGGGCGGGCGGTGGAGCGTATGAGCGGGCGGTGCAGCGTATGGGCGGGCGGTGCAGCGTATGAGCGTGCGGTGCAGCATATGAGCGGGCGGTGCAGCGTATGAGCGTGCGGTGCAGCGTATGAGCGGGCGGTGCAGCTTATGAGCGGGCGGTGCAGCGTATGGGCGGGCGGTGCAGCGTATGAGCGGGCGGTGCAGCATATGAGCGGGCGGTGCAGCGTATGAGCGGGCGGTGCAGCGTATGAGCGGGCGGTGCAGCGTATGAGCGGGCGGTGCAGCTTATGAGCGGGCGGTGCAGCGTATGGGCGGGCGGTGGAGCGTATGAGCGGGCAGTGCAGCGTATGGGCGGGCGGTGCAGCGTATGAGCGTGCGGTGCAGCATATGAGCGGGCGGTGCAGCGTATGAGCGGGCGGTGCAGCGTATGAGCGGGCGGTGCAGCGTATGAGCGTGCGGTGCAGCGTATGAGCGGGCGGTGCAGCGTATGAGCGGGCGGTGCAGCTTATGAGCGGGCGGTGCAGCGTATGGGCGGGCGGTGGAGCGTATGAGCGGGCGGTGCAGCGTATGGGCGGGCGGTGCAGCGTATGAGCGGGCGGTGCACCTTATGAGCGGGCGGTGCAGCGTATGGGCGGGCGGTGGAGCGTATGAGCGGGCGGTGCAGCGTATGAGCGGGCGGTGCAGCGTATGAGCGTGCGGTGCAGCGTATGAGCGGGCGGTGCAGCGTATGAGCGGGCGGTGCAGCTTATGAGCGGGCGGTGCAGCGTATGGGCGGGCGGTGGTGCGTATGAGCGGGCGGTGCAGCGTATGGGCGGGCGGTGCAGCGTATGAGCGTGCGGTGCAGCATATGAGCGGGCGGTGCAGCGTATGAGCGTGCGGTGCAGCGTATGAGCGGGCGGTGCAGCGTATGGGCGGGCGGTGCAGCGTATGAGCGGGCAGTGCAGCATATGAGCGGGCGGTGCAGCGTATGAGCGGGCGGTGCAGCGTATGAGCGGGCGGTGCAGCGTATGAGCGTGCGGTGCAGCGTATGAGCGGGCGGTGCAGCTTATGAGCGGGCGGTGCAGCGTATGGGCGGGCGGTGCAGAGTATGAGCGGGCAGTGCAGCATATGAGCGGGCGGTGCAGCGTATGAGCGGGCGGTGCAGCGTATGAGCGGGCGGTGCAGCTTATGAGCGGGCGGTGCAGCGTATGGGCGGGCGGTGGAGCGTATGAGCGGGCGGTGCAGCGTATGGGCGGGCGGTGCAGCGTATGAGCGGGCGGTGCAGCTTATGAGCGGGCGGTGCAGCGTATGGGCGGGCGGTGGGGCGTATGAGCGGGCGGTGCAGCGTATGAGCGGGCGGTGCAGCGTATGAGCGTGCGGTGCAGCGTATGAGCGGGCGGTGCAGCGTATGAGCGGGCGGTGCAGCGTATGAGCGGGCGGTGCAGTGTATGGGCGGGCGGTGGAGCGTATGAGCGGGCGGTGCAGCGTATGGGCGGGCGGTGCAGCGTATGAGCGGGCGGTGCAGCGTTTGAGCGGGCGGTGCAGCGTATGAGCGGGCGGTGCAGCGTATGAGCGTGCGGTGCAGCGTATGAGCGGGCGGTGCAGCTTATGAGCGGGCGGTGCAGCGTATGGGCAGGCGGTGGAGCGTATGAGCGGGCGGTGCAGCGTATGGGCGGGCGGTGCAGCGTATGAGCGGGCGGTGCGGCATATGAGCGGGCGGTGCAGCGTATGAGTGGGCGATGCAGCGTATGAGCGTGCGGTGCAGCGTATGAGCGTGTGGTGCAGCGTATGAGCGGGCGGTGCAGCGTATGAGCGGGCGGTGCAGCTTATGAGCGGGCGGTGCAGCGTATGGGCGGGCGGTGGAGCGTATGAGCGGGCGGTGCAGCGTATGGGCGGGCGGTGCAGCGTATGAGCGGGCGGTGCAGCTTATGAGCGGGCGGTGCAGCGTATGGGCGGGCGGTGGGGCGTATGAGCGGGCGGTGCAGCGTATGAGCGGGCGGTGCAGCGTATGAGCGTGCGGTGCAGCGTATGAGCGGGCGGTGCAGCGTATGAGCGGGCGGTGCAGCGTATGAGCGGGCGGTGCAGTGTATGGGCGGGCGGTGGAGCGTATGAGCGGGCGGTGCAGCGTATGGGCGGGCGGTGCAGCGTATGAGCGGGCGGTGCAGCGTATGAGCGGGCGGTGCAGCGTATGAGCGGGCGGTTCAGCGTATGAGCGTGCGGTGCAGCGTATGAGCGGGCGGTGCAGCTTATGAGCGGGCGGTGCAGCGTATGGGCAGGCGGTGGAGCGTATGAGCGGGCGGTGCAGCGTATGGGCGGGCGGTGCAGCGTATGAGCGGGCGGTGCGGCATATGAGCGGGCGGTGCAGCGTATGAGCGGGCGGTGCAGCGTATGAGCGTGCGGTGCAGCGTATGAGCGTGTGGTGCAGCGTATGAGAGGGCGGTGCAGCGTATGAGCGGGCGGTGCAGCATATGAGCGGGCGGTGCAGCGTATGAGCGGGCGGTGCAGCGTATGAGCGGGCGGTGCAGCGTATGAGCGTGCGGTGCAGCGTATGAGCGGGCGGTGCAGCGTATGAGCGTGTGGTGCAGCGTATGAGCGGGCGGTGCAGCGTATGAGCGGGCGGTGCAGCGTATGAGCGGGCGGTGCAGCGTATGAGCGGGCGGTGCAGCGTATGAGCGTGTGGTGCAGCGTATGAGTGGGCGGTGCAGCGTATGAGCGGGCGGTGCAGCATATGAGCGGGCGGTGCAGCGTATGAGCGGGCGGTGCAGCGTATGAGCGGGCGGTGCAGCGTATGAGCGTGCAGTGCAGCGTATGAGCGGGCGGTGCAGCGTATGAGCGGGCGGTGCAGCGTATGAGCGGGCGGTGCAGCTTATGAGCGGGCAGTGCAGCGTATGGGCGGGCGGTGGAGCGTATGGGCGGGCGGTGCAGCGTATATGAGCGGGCGGTGCAGCGTATGAGCGGGCGGTGCAGCGTATGAGCGGGCGGTGCAGCGTATGAGCGGGCGGTGCAGCGTATGAGCGGGCGGTGCAGCATATGAGCGTGCGGTGCAGCATATGAGCGTGCGGTGCAGCGTATGAGCGGGCGGTGCAGCGTATGTGCGTGCGGTGCAGCGTATGAGCGGGCGGTGCAGCGTATGAGCGGGCGGTGCAGCGTATGAGCGGGGGGTGCAGCGTATGAGCGGGCGGTGCAGCGTATAAGCGTGCGGTGCAGCGTATGTGCGTGCGGTGCAGCGTATGAGCGGGCGGTGCAGCTTACGAGCGGGCGGTGCAGCGTATGGGCGGGCGGTGCAGCGTATGTGCGGGCGGTGCAGCATATGAGCGGGCGGTGCAGCGTATGAGCGGGCGGTGCAGCGTATGAGCGGGCGGTGCAGCGTATGAGCGGGCGGTGCAGCTTATGAGCGGGAGGTGCAGCGTATGGGCGGGCGGTGGAGCGTATGAGCGGGCGGTGCAGCCTATGGGCGGGCAGTGCAGCGTATGAGCGTGCGGTGCAGCATATGAGCGGGCGGTGCAGCATATGAGCGGGCGGTGCAGCGTATGAGCGGGCGGTGCAGCGTATGAGCGTGCGGTGCAGCGTATGAGGGGGCGGTGCAGCGTATGAGCGGGCGGTGCAGCTTATGAGCGTGCGGTGCAGCATATGAGCGGGAGGTGCAGCGTATGAGCGGGCGGTGCAGCGTATGAGCGGGCGGTGCAGCGTATGAGCGGGCGGTGCAGCGTATGAGCGGGCGGTGCAGCTTATGAGCGGGCGGTGCAGCGTATGGGCGGGCGGTGGAGCGTATGAGCGGGCGGTGCAGCGTATGGGCGGGCGGTGCAGCGTATGAGCGTGCGGTGCAGCATATGAGCGGGCGGTGCAGCGTATGAGCGTGCGGTGCAGCGTATGAGCGGGCGGTGCAGCTTATGAGCGGGCGGTGCAGCGTATGGGCGGGCGGTGCAGCGTATGAGCGGGCGGTGCAGCATATGAGCGGGCGGTGCAGCGTATGAGCGGGCGGTGCAGCGTATGAGCGGGCGGTGCAGCGTATGAGCGGGCGGTGCAGCTTATGAGCGGGCGGTGCAGCGTATGGGCGGGCGGTGGAGCGTATGAGCGGGCAGTGCAGCGTATGGGCGGGCGGTGCAGCGTATGAGCGTGCGGTGCAGCATATGAGCGGGCGGTGCAGCGTATGAGCGGGCGGTGCAGCGTATGAGCGGGCGGTGCAGCGTATGAGCGTGCGGTGCAGCGTATGAGCGGGCGGTGCAGCGTATGAGCGGGCGGTGCAGCTTATGAGCGGGCGGTGCAGCGTATGGGCGGGCGGTGGAGCGTATGAGCGGGCGGTGCAGCGTATGGGCGGGCGGTGCAGCGTATGAGCGGGCGGTGCACCTTATGAGCGGGCGGTGCAGCGTATGGGCGGGCGGTGGAGCGTATGAGCGGGCGGTGCAGCGTATGAGCGGGCGGTGCAGCGTATGAGCGTGCGGTGCAGCGTATGAGCGGGCGGTGCAGCGTATGAGCGGGCGGTGCAGCTTATGAGCGGGCGGTGCAGCGTATGGGCGGGCGGTGGTGCGTATGAGCGGGCGGTGCAGCGTATGGGCGGGCGGTGCAGCGTATGAGCGTGCGGTGCAGCATATGAGCGGGCGGTGCAGCGTATGAGCGTGCGGTGCAGCGTATGAGCGGGCGGTGCAGCGTATGGGCGGGCGGTGCAGCGTATGAGCGGGCAGTGCAGCATATGAGCGGGCGGTGCAGCGTATGAGCGGGCGGTGCAGCGTATGAGCGGGCGGTGCAGCGTATGAGCGTGCGGTGCAGCGTATGAGCGGGCGGTGCAGCTTATGAGCGGGCGGTGCAGCGTATGGGCGGGCGGTGCAGAGTATGAGCGGGCAGTGCAGCATATGAGCGGGCGGTGCAGCGTATGAGCGGGCGGTGCAGCGTATGAGCGGGCGGTGCAGCTTATGAGCGGGCGGTGCAGCGTATGGGCGGGCGGTGGAGCGTATGAGCGGGCGGTGCAGCGTATGGGCGGGCGGTGCAGCGTATGAGCGGGCGGTGCAGCTTATGAGCGGGCGGTGCAGCGTATGGGCGGGCGGTGGGGCGTATGAGCGGGCGGTGCAGCGTATGAGCGGGCGGTGCAGCGTATGAGCGTGCGGTGCAGCGTATGAGCGGGCGGTGCAGCGTATGAGCGGGCGGTGCAGCGTATGAGCGGGCGGTGCAGTGTATGGGCGGGCGGTGGAGCGTATGAGCGGGCGGTGCAGCGTATGGGCGGGCGGTGCAGCGTATGAGCGGGCGGTGCAGCGTATGAGCGGGCGGTGCAGCGTATGAGCGGGCGGTGCAGCGTATGAGCGTGCGGTGCAGCGTATGAGCGGGCGGTGCAGCTTATGAGCGGGCGGTGCAGCGTATGGGCAGGCGGTGGAGCGTATGAGCGGGCGGTGCAGCGTATGGGCGGGCGGTGCAGCGTATGAGCGGGCGGTGCGGCATATGAGCGGGCGGTGCAGCGTATGAGCGGGCGGTGCAGCGTATGAGCGTGCGGTGCAGCGTATGAGCGTGTGGTGCAGCGTATGAGCGGGCGGTGCAGCGTATGAGCGGGCGGTGCAGCTTATGAGCGGGCGGTGCAGCGTATGGGCGGGCGGTGGAGCGTATGAGCGGGCGGTGCAGCGTATGGGCGGGCGGTGCAGCGTATGAGCGGGCGGTGCAGCTTATGAGCGGGCGGTGCAGCGTATGGGCGGGCGGTGGGGCGCATGAGCGGGCGGTGCAGCGTATGAGCGGGCGGTGCAGCGTATGAGCGTGCGGTGCAGCGTATGAGCGGGCGGTGCAGTGTATGGGCGGGCGGTGGAGCGTATGAGCGGGCGGTGCAGCGTATGGGCGGGCGGTGCAGCGTATGAGCGGGCGGTGCAGCGTATGAGCGGGCGGTGCAGCGTATGAGCGGGCGGTGCAGCGTATGAGCGTGCGGTGCAGCGTATGAGCGGGCGGTGCAGCTTATGAGCGGGCGGTGCAGCGTATGGGCAGGCGGTGGAGCGTATGAGCGGGCGGTGCAGCGTATGGGCGGGCGGTGCAGCGTATGAGCGGGCGGTGCGGCATATGAGCGGGCGGTGCAGCGTATGAGCGGGCGGTGCAGCGTATGAGCGTGCGGTGCAGCGTATGAGCGTGTGGTGCAGCGTATGAGCGGGCGGTGCAGCGTATGAGCGGGCGGTGCAGCATATGAGCGGGCGGTGCAGCGTATGAGCGGGCGGTGCAGCGTATGAGCGGGCGGTGCAGCGTATGAGCGTGCGGTGCAGCGTATGAGCGGGCGGTGCAGCGTATGAGCGTGTGGTGCAGCGTATGAGCGGGCGGTGCAGCGTATGAGCGGGCGGTGCAGCGTATGAGCGGGCGGTGCAGCGTATGAGCGGGCGGTGCAGCGTATGAGCGTGTGGTGCAGCGTATGAGTGGGCGGTGCAGCGTATGAGCGGGCAGTGCAGCATATGAGCGGGCGGTGCAGCGTATGAGCGGGCGGTGCAGCGTATGAGCGGGCGGTGCAGCGTATGAGCGTGCAGTGCAGCGTATGAGCGGGCGGTGCAGCGTATGAGCGGGCGGTGCAGCGTATGAGCGGGCGGTGCAGCTTATGAGCGGGCAGTGCAGCGTATGGGCGGGCGGTGGAGCGTATGGGCGGGCGGTGCAGCGTATATGAGCGGGCGGTGCAGCGTATGAGCGGGCGGTGCAGCGTATGAGCGGGCGGTGCAGCGTATGAGCGGGCGGTGCAGCGTATGAGCGGGCGGTGCAGCATATGAGCGTGCGGTGCAGCATATGAGCGTGCGGTGCAGCGTATGAGCGGGCGGTGCAGCGTATGTGCGTGCGGTGCAGCGTATGAGCGGGCGGTGCAGCGTATGAGCGGGCGGTGCAGCGTATGAGCGGGGGGTGCAGCGTATGAGCGGGCGGTGCAGCGTATGAGCGTGCGGTGCAGCGTATGTGCGTGCGGTGCAGCGTATGAGCGTGCGGTGCAGGTGGCAGTGGTGGTTGGCGGGGTGTGGGAGTGGTGCGGTGCACTCACCATCTCCACTGCTGTGACGATGGCACACAGGCGCTGCACACAGCACGCACCTGATGGCCCCACCCCACCCACCCCCATGGGTTTCGCCATGCGCAATGCACATCCACACACGCACCCGAATGTGCATGCACAAAGAAGGGAATAAGAGAGGCGAGGAGGAGGAGGGGAGAGATGATGAGTGCGGATACCATGAGAGGATAGGAGCAGGAATGGACGTCGCGGAGGGGGGAGGGAGGGCAGCAGAGTAGCAGAGGAGTTGAGGGAGCATGGCCCAGGACAGACAGGACAGGAGAGGGCGTGCCAGGGGCGGGTCACCTGCATCGCGTGCAGCGCTCCACGTGGCAGCCAGCCACTGCACGTCCGATACAGGCGCAGGGAAGCACACCCATAGACACCCACTCTCGCCTGCACGCCTGCCCCTTGTTTCTCCTCTCCCTCCCTCGCCACTCTTCCTTCTCGTAACAAACCCTCCTGCGCCTGCGCTGAGTCTTCCTGTCATCGGGCCCTCCCCCCGTCTCCCCCCTGTGCAGCAGTAGGTATGCGCCCAGCGGCTGGCAGCGCGCACTGCTGATGGCACCCCGAAGTACACCGCACTCTTGATTGGGGGGAGGGGAGAGACGAGGGGAGGGGATGGGAGGGGTAGGATGATGAGGGCCACAGAGTCGACGGAGAAGGGATGGAAGGAGGGCGTGCGGGGTGAAGGGAGGGTGAAGAACAGTAACATGTGGGGGCATGGATATGAGCAAGCACGGCCCCTATATGTCCACCACCATGCACGCACACCATGCCGCGCCCAGAGCGCCACCTCACTCACAGCACCACAACCCCCCACAGGCACATGAGAGCGTGCGTGCAGCAGTATGCGGGCTTACCGCGAGCAGGCCGGGGATGTGCGACGCAGTGAGGGCGGGGCGGGGCAGGGCGGGCAGGAGGTGCGGGAGGAGGTGTGCGAAGAGGTGGGGGTCCCAGTGGATGTGCTGCACTGGTAGGGACGCCTCTCGGAATGATGAGAGTAGTGTTGCGAAGTACGTGCTCGACTGCGCTAGACTGGGGGGGAGGGGGAGGAGGGGGGAAGGGTAGGGGGGAAGAATGGAAGAAGGAGGTTAGTAGGTGTGTGGGGTTGTTGGAGAAATGTGTGTGAGACAAGGCAAGGGAAGGTATCAGTGTTCCAAATGGGGACGAGTGGCATGAGGAAACAGATGGGAGCGATGGGGCACGCGGGCACGCAGAGCACAGAGGGATGCGCGCCGAGGGCGAGCGGTGGAGGAGGCGAGCCACACTCTCACGCGCGCCCGTCACAGCCTCCCACCATTCTGTGGCACCGGCACTCTCACTGCGCATGGGAGCAGTGCATGCGTGTGCGTGCATGATCCGTGCCCGCCATCCCCACCGCCATACATGGATCGCTCGATGCTGAGCAAGAGCCGCGCTTCCCCCTCCATCTCCGCTCTCCTAGCCTCGCCTGCCTCCTCTCCCCTTTCTCCCCCCTCTCTCCTCTTGCCCCTTTCGCCCCACTCGCCCCCAGCTCCCCCATCCGTGGCGTCGTCCCCCGCTAACGCTCCCCGCGCGGCGTTCTCTCCGCCACCTCCCCGCTCCCGCGCGTCGCCTCCTTCCGCGCTTCCCCCGTCGCCCACCTCTCGCCCCGCACCCCTCTGCGCCACGCCTTGCCCGCGGCGCTCCGACGACACCACCACCACCACCATGCGCGGCGCGCCATCGGGGCGATCAGCGGCGGGTACGCGCGCACGTGGCATGGTGGGTGCGTGCGCGCGGCGGATGGGCGCGGTCAGACAAACGGGTGCGGCGCACGGCGCACTGCGGACGGCGGGCTATCAATGTGTGCGCCGCGATGGACGTAACCGCGCTACTGGGACCGAGATCGCAGAGGCTGTACAGCCGGGCGGTCGGCGCGACGACGGGCGTGGTAAGGAGGATTTATGGCGCTGCGCTTCCTTACGAAACCACACTCGACATGAGTGAACGTGCTCACTGTGTGGAGGTCCAAAATTCCACGGGATTTAAATGCTGGTCTGTATAATGAGCGAAGGAATGAGCTAAGAATATATAGCGAAAACTACGGTGGTAACGGTAACGTGGGAAATTGGGGTGCGCGACGGGCCTGGTGCCGAGGTTTGGGGAACTGTCGAGGCGGAGGTCCGGAGCGCGGGTTACCAACTGAACCGTGAGGTTGGGTCGCATCGTGAACAGTGGCGGGAATGATGTCGAGGCGAATGTCGCGAGTGGTAACGGAATATTGTGGGGTGCTTTCAGTGTTGTACCTGCTGAGCAGGGACGCGAAGTAAGGAAAAGGAATTTTCCTTACACTACCCCCCCCCCTCAAGGAGGCCTCCCTTACGAGAGTGCATGTATATCCCGTAAATTTCTGTTGCGCAAGTACTCGTTGAGGACGGGGTGGTTTTCGATTTTGTCCAGTGGAACCCAGTTGTCCTCGGTGGGCGTGCGGTCTCGCCAGCGTATTAGAAATTCGACCCTTCGGGCTCCTCGTGGGTCACGAACTCGGTGGCTCAGAATCTTTTCGGGCGTGATGACTGGCTCGGTCGGTGGTCGGGTCATGCTGGCTGGGCGATGTCGGGCCAGTTGGCTTGTGGATGGGATGTGGGGGCGAAGCAGGCTGACGTGGAAGGAGGGGCTGACGTACCAGTCCGCGGGGAGGAGGAGGTGGGCTGTGACCGGTGTGATCATGTGGCTGATGCGAAATGGCCCGCAATATCGGGGGCGGAGTTTCGGAGTTATGGGCAGGCGGAGGTTTTGGGTGTTGAGTAGAACTAAGTCGTCGGGTTGGTAAGTGACGGGTCTGCGGTGGCGGTCGGCGTTGCGCTTAGCGATAACGTTCGCTTTTTTAATTGCGTCTGCTGCCCTGGTCCGTGCTTCTTGTAGGATTTCTGCGAATTGTTGCGCTCGCGGCACCGGGTTGTCGGGATTCGGGGTCATGGGTACTGTAGGATCTTGTCCGTAGTTCAGGTAAAACGGTGACTGTTGGGTCATGGCGGATGGCGAGTTGTTGTACGCGAATTCGATTAGTGGCAGTTGTTGTTCCCAGGTGGTGGGGTCGTCGCACGTGGCTCGAATTAACTGTTCCATGGTCTGATTTGTCCGTTCTGTTTGTCCGTCGGTTTCGGGGTGGTACGAAGAACTGAACTGCAGCCTCGTGCCGAACTGCTGCCACAGGTTCCGCCAGAAATTGCTGGTAAACTTCGTATCGCGGTCGCTGACGATCGCTGTTGGTATCCCGTGTAATCGAACAATGGTTGTGATGAAGAGGCGGGTCGTTTCTTCGGCTGTGATTGATTTCTTGCAGGCTGCGAAGTGTGCCATTTTCGTCAATCGATCGACGACGACCAGGATCGCGTCGTTCCCACTTGCACCTGCCGGTAACCTCGTGACGAAGTCCATCGTCACCTGCTGCCAAGCACGCTCTGGGGGTGGTATCGGCTGCAATTGTCCTGCCGGCCGCTTCCGCTTCCGACCTGGCAGGTGGGACACGATGCCACGTGTCGTTGCACATCGGTCAGCATTTCGGGCCAGTAGTAGTACTGCTGCAGCTGCTGCCGTGTTTTCTCTACTCCGAAATGCCCTGAGGTAACTCCGTCGTATGCCTCCTGCAACAGTAATTCCCGTAGAAGTGTGTAGCCCGGTACCCAGATGCGACCAGTGCCGGCTTTTACGTAATAGACTCCCCTTGCTGCTGCAAACTGCTACGAATTTCCGCCCGTAAAAAATGGGTCAGTCTGATAACCGTGGGTAAATAGGCCTGTTAACAGTGGGTTGGTTTGGGCGAGTAGTATGGCGTGAATTTGGGCTGTGGGCCGGGTTAATGCATCGGCGATGTTTGATGCCCCCGTTTTGTAGGTGACCGTTGCCGAAGTCCTGTAGCAGTACGGCTCCAATGGCGATGTCGCTTGCGTCGGTAACCACTTCGAATGGGCGGTGTGGGTCGGCGATGCGCAGGACGGGCGGTGAACAGAGAACATTTTTCAGGTTAGAGAAGGCAGCATGCTCTTTCGCCCCCCACGTAAAAGTGACCCCCTTCCGCAGTAAATCTGTTAGCGGGGCAGTTAAGCGTGCCATGTCGGGGACGAACCGGCGCACGTAATTAACGAACCCTAAAAAACTCTGCAGTTCCGTGATGTTCGTCGGGGGGTGCCACGCTTTTACCGTGTCCAATTTTTTTGGGTCAATTTCTACTCCATCCTCCGAAATAACGTGCCCCAAGAACTCTAGCCTATCCTAAAAAAACTCGCACTTGGAACCCTTGGTCAGTAGTCTGTGTTTGTCTAAAACTGTAAATACTTCTTCTAAATCGGCTAAATGCTGCTGCTTATCCCAACTGTAGACTAGGATGTCGTCGAGGTAGATGATCACACATTTATCTAAGAGTGGCCTAAACGCCTCGTTCATCGTCATCTGGAAAGTCGCCGGCGCGTTGGTCAGCCCGAAAGGCATCACCGTGTATTCAAACGACCCGTACCTAGTCCTAAAAGCTGTTTTGGCACAGTCCGACGGTTCGACCCTAATCTGGTGGTAACCTTCCCGTAAGTCAATTTTCGAAAAGACCCGCGCTGTTCGCAGTTGATCTATCAGCTCGTCGGGGCGGGGGATGGGGTATCGCGATTTAACTGTAACCCTGTTCAGTGCTCGGTAGTCGATACACATGCGAAACCCACCGTCCTTCTTCGGTGTGAACAGGATTGGTGCGGCGAATGGCGATGAGCTCGGTCGGATGATTTTTTTCTCTAACAGGTAATCTAACTGCTTCCTTAGCTTGTCAAGCTCGGGCTGTGTCAGTCTGAACTGTCGCTGTACGGTTGGCTGTGCCCTGGGCTCTAATTCTATTCGGTGATCGTGCGCCCGCTGAGGTGGCAGTCCCTCTGGTAAGTCATCGGGGAAGATCCCCGGGAATCGTTTCAACAGTTCCTGTAGTTCCGATGATACGGCCGCCAGTAGTTTCTGAAAATCACTCGGTTTGTCCGCTTCTTCCACTATCGCGATATCCACCGCGTACACGTCAGCTCCAGCGGCGACAGCCCGTTTCATCGTGATGGCGTTGACGTGGACCGTTGAAGACTCAGGCGACTGCCAGCGAGGTAGTTCCACACAGTTACCGCTACTTCGCATAGTGCAGCTGCCCGTCGTCCAGTCGATTCGCGGGTTGTATCGTCGCAGCCAATCACGTCCTAGTAAAATATCGTGCCCATCCAATGTCGTCGCGAGCATTTCCTGTGTAAACCCGAAATTCCCCCCACAGCGGACTTTTACTCTTTCCACTTTTTCCCGTATGGCCAGCGGCGTTCCGTCAACTAAGCGTGCATCGATCTCTGGTAAGCACCGACGAAGTGTCAGTTGCAGCTTCCTTGTAGTCGCGGTATTAACTAAGCTGTGACTTGCACCTCCGTCTATAAAAATCTTCACTGCTGCTCCCTGTGTTTTCCCGTGAATCAGTACTGGGCAATCCGTCGCTGTACCCTCCTTATTCGTCCGAGCCCGATCGATAGCGTGAATCGGTACTGTGACTCAGTGAGGGTCGGTGAAGTTGGGCGAGCAGGCAGTCTCGTCAGTAGTTGGCCCAACTTCTACTGACTGCTGGCGTTTCCCGGCCTCTGAGACTCTCGCCCCTGCTCTGTTCCGCGGCGCCTCAGCTCCTCTGGGCATTCACTCTTGCGATGGCCCGGCCTATTGCAAGCAAAGCAGTGCCCCTTAAACGGTGCGGCAGCTGCATTCGTCGCAACGGCGTGTACGGTGGCGTGCTCGATCGGTCCCCGAGGACGTTGTCCGTAGTAGGACCCCGGTCTCGGTCGTCGTAGGATGTCGATTTTCTCGGCGAGCGCGAGGATCTCGTTGAAATTCGAGAGCCCGCGTAGCATAATTTCGTGCGATATGTCCGGCTTTAGCCCTCCGACGTAACGGTCCACCCGCTCCGCTTCGTGCATATAGCCGACTTGCTTGCATAGTGCAAGAAAGCCGCTATAGTAATCTTGAACCGACCCGAGCTGCCGCCAAGTGCGCAGCTTCTGACGCGCCGAAATCGAAGCCGCGATCGGCTCGAAACGCGCCCGAAGCCCTGCGCACCACGCATCCCACGTGCTGTACTGGACTGTCTCGCAGAATGAACTCCAGGTGACGGCTAGGCCCGTGGGCCCGTCTTCTTGCGACGGTGGCTCGTAGGCGTGTGGCGACGTCACGATGACTCGCCACCAGTCCATGGCAGGGCCCCTCAACAGCGAAACAGCATAGCGAATCTTCGCTGCGTCCGACTCGACGTAATTGGCGTCGAAAAACACGTTCATCGTGTGAAGACCCACGACTGAACCGTCGGACCCCCACGTTGGCTCGGGTCGAAACAGGGCGGACGCTGTGGCTTGAGTGGCATTGGTGCCGTGACGGCATACTCGCCACTTGTTGCCGCAAATTCCACGTGCCTACGGAACTCGCGGGGCTCCCGTGGGCTTGGTGCGGTCCTGTTTCTTTCCATGCCAGGCATCGAGTGAGCGACGCCCTCACTAGCTGCGCCTGAGCGCTGTCCCACGCTGTCATTCTGTGTCGGTGTGCCAGAGGAGATGACAATCGGCTCCTCCGAATGTGTAGGTGCATGTGTTGGTGCTGGTGCGTTCACTGTCGATTGTTGGCGAGCGGAGTCACGTTCCACCGTGAGTGTGGCGATTTCAAGCGCCGATTCTTCGAGTTGGTGCATGAGCCTGTTAAACTCTTAGGCAAGGGATGATGGCAACTATCGAGA